CAAAAAAAAACGCTTCGATGCAAATCTTTAGATAGTGTTTAATTTTAAAAAATTGGTAGATTATTCCAAAAGCTACATGATCTGATATTTTCTCATTAATATCCTGAATTAAAAAGGGATTATTAAAAAATATTATTTCTCATAAAAAAATTATGTTGAACCATACACTTTTCAATAAGTCATAGCATTATAAAGTTAAAAATGTAAAAAATAAAATAGAGAAATTTCACACAAAAATAGCATTCGGTAGCCATTTTCACCATGAAGATAAGATAAAGTCCGAAATTTTTTTTTTCATGATAAAGCATATTACATTAGCTTTAATTTAAGATATATATAAAAGTGTCAGACCTTCCGGAACATTTTCAAAAGTTAAGTTGAAAAAGTCAATTTTTTGTGAAAAAGTTGTCATTTTAAATCTCCCCCTGTAGTCAGGTTTAGTGTCAGATTTACAAAAAAAATATACTAAATAATAGGTAAAGACATCAAGCATCTATAAAAAAAAAATTATATTAATATATTCATTTTTGAAAAAGTTACGGCAGTTTTTAGTAAAAAAATTGAAAAAATTTCGAAAATTAGCGATTTTTAAATTTGTAATTTTTTTGGAGGTTTCCCCCATTTACGGGGAACGAGGGAAATTTTTTCAATTTTTGAGGGTAATATCTTTGACTAGATACGATTTGTGATCTTTTGACGTATCATTGAAAGAAATCGATTGGGTGAGAGCTGAGAAAAAGTGGTAAGAGACACAAAAAAAAAAAACACATCTTAGTAAAACCAATACCTTCTCAGCTTCGTATCGAAGCTAATAGTAATTTTAACATTCTATAATGTAAAATTTTTTTTATAAAAAAAAACAAATATTACTTCATACCAAACTCTTCTCTTTTAACCATTTTTGAAGTAAGTGATGTAGTAATAGTAAGAGCTGTACCATGAAACATATCGATAATTGGAACTAAACAGAGAAAACGTTTTAATTATGTACAATATGTACACAATAAATTTTAACAAATTTGCATATAATAGTACTTACTTATATACATTTGCCAAGGTTCATTAGCAAAACAATAACTCATTGCTGCAATAATATCAAATAAACAAGCTATTACACCAATAATTGCGTCATTTATCTTAAATCGGTGGCTTAAAACGGAGACCGAAAAAAGGGTTCCTAGAAAGTAAAATCTTATCACAAAATAATATTAGTGGTTTCAAATAAAAAAAATAGTTTGTTTAAAACTTACAATTTTTTATTGAAGATACTCAAATAAGCTCTAGTTTTACTACAAAAGAAGGATGATGTCAAAACTATACCAATTATATAAATATTATAAATTTCTATAGAAAATTTGAAATTGAATTTTGCAGTGACGTACACAGGATATTTTAATGGAGGGGGCTAAAAATTGATTTGGCTAATCGCCTGAGTTTATAAATATTAAAGTCATACACTGTTTATAAACATTACTAAAAATAGTAATTATATAACACGGATATGAGTGGGACATTAGCCTTATTAGTCGGCCTTTGTGTTCGCCACTGTATTAACACGAGGTTTTTTTCTACAGTTTAAGAGCTGCATTAATTAAGTACATTTATGTCATTTACAAATCATTATTCTTAATTACTAAATTTTCAATTTATTACGCCCAAATTCTACTTAAAGATTAAGTTTACATCATTTAAAACACCTTTCCTTTGTAAAATATATACTTCGTACATAAATAAAGTTTACCAAAGAAAATCATCGTCATTTTGAAAGCAGCAAAATAACTGTAATTAATTTCTTTCCAATTGAATTTGTACCTGACAAATAAATACATTACAGAATACTCAGCTGAAAAAATCAAACCACATTACTTAAAATTTCTAATGACATAACAAACCTAATTTATAAATCAAAAAGATAGCCAAAGTGCGTTTTATCCTATGTGCAATATATATTGTATACCACTGGTGGCATTGAGAGGCTGGGAACTAATATTATTTTGTGGTTTCAACATATTTTTAGTTAACATATTGACAAAATACAATCTTAAAATAAAAACTTTAATTTTATTTTTAATGTTAATAATATTATTCTTTAAATATTATATTAACCAAGTACAAAAATTTTCTAAAGTTAAATCCTTCCCAACGGACAATTGATCCAGTAGTAGATCATTATTTCTAAGATTATTCAATAGTTTGTCCAAAAATTTTACTGAGAATTTTTGTAGTACTTTCAATAGTTTTTTTTGTTCGAACTTAGACGCCCCTAAAAGTAAAACCTACTCGTCCCCAAATATTTTTACAAACTTCACGTGATAGAGTGTACATCTATAGTCGAATTTCAAAAATAAGAGATTTAATCTTTTTGTTTTAATAAAATTATAATCGTACTGAACAAGCATTATGTTTGTGAAATATAAATGCAAAAATGATGATATTTTTTAGTGCTTACATTAATAGTTTGAACCATAATTTTAAATGAGGTTTTACTCTACGACCCTATAAAAAATGTTGCCTTTTTAAAATTATTTAATGCTTTCAATTAACGTAAAAATTAATAAATGTAATATATATCACCTGCTATTCTTCCACTTAAAACTGATTGACATGCTAATAAAACTATCAAAGTTAATGCATAGTTCTTCACTTCACCCTTAAATAAAGACAAAAAACCTTGAAGGATATGATTCGGTCTTAACCATTTTTGACTTTCATCGTAAGGTACAGATGTGTCCTTAATGAAATAAAAAATAAGAAATACAGCTATGAAATTCAATGAGATCGGTACAGCAAAAGCTCCATAGAATCCTAGTTTTATGTTTAATATTCCTGACAATCCCGTACCGATTAATGAACTAATGTAATATGTGGCATTTATCACTCCAAATCGTAAAGTTCTTTCTTCCAATGACGTATTGTCGGATATGTATGAAATAACACCAACCCAAAACATGCTCCTTGCACCAAACATTCCAGGAACTATGCCTTCAAAAACAGCCGCAACTTGAGGAGGCCATGACCAAAAATAAGCGTTTACTATACACAGTGCATCAGTAAGAATTTGACCAACAATTGGTAAAATCATTAATGGTCTTCTTCGATTACCATGACTGTCACTCCATGGCCCTAAGAATTTATTAAATAAATTATAATTATAATATACAAAACAATGTTTGTAATCAAAATATGAAAACATTTTTTTATTAATCAATATATTATTTTTAAATTATCAAACAATTTTAACCGTCACTTTTTAATAATTATGAACTTAAGAAAATTAAACTATGATAAAAAATAAATTCTGAATATTTTGTACAATAGACTTAAGACTTTATTTGGGCATTACATAATTATAAACATTCATGAAAATGCTTAAATAAATTTTACATCAAATGTGTTTTATTCTTCATTCTTCGCGGAAATAAATCAAATAATAAGTAATACAAATCACAGTATTAAATAATTTTGATTAATGAAAGCGTATTTTTATATGAATAAAATATAATATTTTAAAAAATAGACATAATTTTAGAAAACTTAAGAAAAATTTAAAAAATTATGTTTTGAATAGATTTTTTTATATCTAAGTATATGATATTTTAAAAATCTCAATTATTTTAATTTATTTCGACTGATCTGGTTGAGAATTTCATTTTTATATTGCTTTCTCAGGAATACTAAAACGATCTCTAGTCGATAGATAAAACTTCAGTAACAAACCCGGATTGTTTAGACGATCTTGGTAGCTCAAGCAACAAAGAAAATTGCCTTAAAGGAAAATTTAACTCATTATTGCCAACATTTATTTTTTCAATACCTATACATATCTATTAGAATATATATAAAAAAATAAGTTAAAAAGATGTCGGATGTTGCTATGTGGCAATGGTAGGTATTAATAAGTCATTTGTTGTAAATATTTGGGCCAACTTAATAAAACTATATTATATTAGAGCTATTTATAAAAATTAATGTTAATTCTAAATATAATTTACATAGGAACTTTATTTCAATTTCGTTTGGTATATGTTATGATATTGAGTCCAGAAAAAAAAATATCCGAATATTAAAATATTTCAGGAAAAATTACGGGCAAGTACGTCTGAACTAAAATAGCTAAATGTACTAAAAAATTTTATATAATTATATATTAACTGAATATCTAAATATCTTATAAATTAAAATTATTTGAATTAATAATTAATTACTTTTATTTAAATAATTATTCAATGAATACTTTTAGCTATTTTTCTACTACACTGATCACGACACTAAAATTTTGCTAACCATATATTATCCATAGCAACTTCTTGTCGAATTTCATCGACTAATACCCAAGATGTAACGTTATTTTGGCCAGTTAACATAGAAAATAAGAACCATATTTAAAAAAACAATACCATTTGATATTTTTGTAATTCATAATGTAGTACATACATGTGCCTTGTACATTATTTTAGCTTCGATGCGAAGCTGAGAAGGTATTGGTTTTACTAAGATGTGTTTTTTTTTTTTTTGTGTCTGTTACCACTTTTTCTCAGCTCTCACCGAACCGATTTCTTTCAATGATACGTCAAAAGATCACAAATCGTATCTAGTCGAAGACATTACCCTTAAAAATTGAAAAAAATTCCCTCGTTCCCCGTAAATGGGGGAAACCTCCAAAAAAATTACAAATTTAAAAATCGCTAATTTTCGATATTTTTTCAATTTTTTTTACTTAAAAGTGCCATAACTTTTTCAAAAATGAACATATCAATATAATTCTTTTTTATATAGATGCATAATATCATTACCTTTCATTTGGTATATTTTTTTCATAAATTTAACCCTTAACCTGCCCACAAGGGGGGATTTAAAATGACAACTTTTTCACAAAAAATTAATTTTTTTAACTTAAATTTTGAAAATGTTCCGGAAGGTCTGACACTTTTATATATATCTTAAATTAAAGCTAATGTAATATACTTTATCATGAAAAAAAAAAATTTCGGACTTTATCTTATCTTCATGGTGAAAATGGCTACCGAATGCTATTTTTGTGTGAAAATTTTCGATTTTGTATTTTCCATTTTTAACTTTATTATGCTATAACTTTTTGAAAAATGAATAAATCATTACAATTTCTTTATGAGAAGTAGTATTTATATAGATCTTTCATTCGACATACTGTTTTTTTAAATCGAACCATTTCCCTAAATAAAGGGGGGATTCATAACATAAAAATGCATATAGAAAGTAGAACTTTTTCAACGTAACTTTTGAAAGTGTTCCGGAAGGTCTGACACTTTTATATATATCTTAAATTAAAGCTAATGTAATATACTTTATAATGGTAAAAAAAAATTTCGGACTTTATTTTATCTTCATGGTGAAAACAGACATTAAACTTAATAAAAAAAATACGATTTTTGTAAAAAAATTCTTTTTTATATTTTTAACTTTATAATGCTATAACTTTTTGAAAGATGTATGGATCAATATAATTCTTTTAATTGTAGATGCATGATGTTTTTACCTATCATTTGGTATATTTTTTTTATAAATCTGACTTTTTACCTGCCTACGGGGGTCGGATTCAAAATGACAACTTTTTCACAAAAAATTTACTTTTTCAACTTAAATTTTGAAAGTGTTCCGGAAAGTCTGACACTTTTTTATATATATTAAATTAAAGCTAATGTAATCTACTTTATTATGTAAAAAAAAAATTTCGGACTTTATTTTGTCTTCACGATGAAAATGGCTACCAAATGCTATTATTGTGTGAAAATTCTCAATTTTATTTTTTACATTTTTAACTTTATAATGCTATAACTTATTGAAAAGTGTATTGATCAATATAATTTTTTTATGGGAAATTCTATTTTTTAATAATCCCTTTTTCATTCGACATACTTTATCTTAATCAGGATATTAATAAGGAACTAGCAGTTTATGAAGCTTTTGGAATAATCCATCTATACCACGTCACCACTGTGCCGCGACCCCCCTGTGCTGGGTTTTTTTCTTTTACTTTATTAAACAAATTAAACTCTATTTTTATTATTATTAAAAAATTTATAATAAATACGTATACACAACACATTTAACTGATGATTGTTTTTTTTTTAACGGTTATATTTACCTTTTTATAAATATTGTTTCGGTCATTTTTTCCTGGAGTATTTTAAACAATTTTTCCCAGAACGATTTGTCTGGTTACCATAGATATTAATGAGGCCACTATGTAAGACGAGATGGAGTGTAGGACTTATTATTTATTTGGATGTTGAGAAGCACAGATAGGTATTACTAAAAGGCCAAATTGAATCATAGAATTTTCAGTACGCAAATGTAGACTTCACTACCAGCAAATGACACCCTGAGTTTGGGAGATAAAAAATAAATTTGTAAAAGTAAGAAAAGTCATCATGAGCTCTTGGGTTAGCTTAAAGCGAGCATTTTAATCATAAATCTCGATGGGTCTATTAGTCTAAATTCAACTCATTTTAATGATGAAATGAAAAATTTCAGAAAGTCAAAAATCAACCCGGGCGTAATCCTGTTCTTCTATAAATATACAAGATTATCCAATTATTATAACCTACTAAATTACTCCTAAAATTAATATAATATTTAAACATTTTTCTTTTTAATTTATTAGTTACAGGTATATCATGAGTCATCAGCTATTAATAAATGTTTAGTATCATCCTCATAAAGATGTAAACTTCCTTTTTTTTTTACGACAAGATACATCTTTAACTAACTTATAAAACAGGAAATGATCTGATTGAGAAAATGGCGTCTCGATAACAATTTTTGGACCGGTACTTTTGAAGTTATTAATATTTTTACAAGTGGACGAGAGTGCGGTTAATGATTGAAATATTTAATGATATAAATAGTCATCCCACACCTCACCCCAGTCTAAACTTTAAAACCGTTATAACTTCTAAATAACTGGTTCAAAATCTATTATTGACTCGTCGTTTAATTAATTTAGATCAGTGTAAAATATACACTACGTCTAAATTAATTAAATGTACTAGTCATGTAAAAATGGTACTGATTTATTAATTATTTATTTCAAATATTTTAATAATTATAAAAACAGAAACTAAATAATACTGTTTAAGTAACAATTAAGACAAATAATCAAATTATCCACATTTAAATGTCGATAAAAGACACAATTAGTTTTTTCACTCGAATATTTATTACATATATTTATAAAGATGTGTCTATTAAAACTTTTCTATTAAGTAACGTAATATGTTTACTAAACATTGTTTAGTCTCAAGATTTAATTTCAAAGTATTTCCTTGGAAATACCCCTTTTAAAAAGCACTAATTGTAACATTTATTTGAAAGGCCCAAATTTTAACATGACTTACTCGAACATTCGCCCACCTTAAAAATATTAAAGCAGCTCTCCTTCCTGTTTTAGATTAATTTTAATAGATTAGAAAAAAATAATTGGTCTCCACTTATAGATAATAAATCTATAAAAAAAAACAAGATATAATTGAATGTTTTTTTATTGAATTATTATAATTAATAAATATCAGTACTTTAACAGTTAAAATTTATACCAATATTTCCTGTTAATCAATGTAATGTAATTTTGGGAGTGAATCTTTATTTCTTAATTTCTCTCAATTATACAAAAATTATAAAAATTAATCAATATATGAATACAATTAATTAATTGAATTCAACTAAAATTAAATAACATTGTATCAATTCTAGCGATTATACTATTCCGCTTATCAGGAGTTATCTAGATGGCAATTACCCTTTCATAATAACTTTATGTTTCGTAAGTACTATTGTATTTTTGTTTGATCTAATATTTTTATAATATTAAAAATCTACTAATAATAATTACCTGCTAATATAATTAAAAATACAGGAATTATATATTGAAGAAATGCCTTCCATGATTGCATTACAGAAACAACGTGTTGAGCATTCGTTTCGCCGTTAATGCACTCACCAAAAGGTTCAACAGGGTTACATGCTTTTCTTATCAATAAATTATGTTGTAAAAATGCTGAAATCGAAAGCGATGTCGAATATAGAAATGTTGTCGTTTCTAAAGAACATATCACGGCATAACTGGATGATTTTGAATATTTATTCCGTAACATGTTGATGTTCGACAAAAAACTTACTGTACCGCTAGGCACATGTTGCTACGCACACGTTCAGTACACAACTGAATTCCGTCTGGTGTAGTAATATGTTTTCGTAATGACGTAACAGTGAATGTTAATTTTTTTTTTTTTTCATTTAATGATAATCTCATTCTCTACCATCATCAATAGTACAACAAACCCGAAAACAATATATAAGCCTATACTTTTCTAGTAGCCCAATTTCCCAAGTTTCAATAATTGAAATAACAAAATGTTAATATAAATAATCTACGGAGAATGTTATCACTCTTAATTTATATTATGTAAGATCACGTAAGTTTAATTTATTAACGTTTTTTAATCCAAATAAACTTAACGCATTAATCATCTAGTAAATGAGTAAGGGTAATACTTCACAAAAACATAATTATAGCTAATGATATATATAAATACATATATATATTTTTTTTAATAACGACACAAATTATACAAAGAATATTACAATTTATACAATTTCATCGTACATCCATGAAAAAAATCTTAGATTCTTCTATTAAAGATACAATTTAATTAACTCATCACTTACAGCAGATGGCATTAATATTCCCAAGTCCGTAAATAAGAGAGTAATATACGTTGGATGTGTATAATCGACGATGGGATGAACGTTCGTATTATTTCCGTTATTTGAAGAATACTAAAAAAAAAGTTCAAGGTTAAATTCAACGAGAACTTTGTTTTATAAAACAAATATAGATTACATTTTTTAATAATGAAAAATAACAAGACAATTAGTGAACTTAAAGCAACAACAATTGGCTTATTAACAGAAATAAAGCACATAAATAGTATTAATAATTTATTTCAACAATTAAAAAAAAACAATTTTAAATAACCTCATTATTAAAATAAAATTATTATAAAAACCATTATAAAGGCTAATATTTGTATATATGATATTCAACATTTATTTTATTAAAAAAAATAAAATAATGATTAAAAATTACAAATATATGAATTTATCATTAATTTATTTATAACCTTAAGATCATGCTCTGCGTCCTTTTGACGTAACTTGTACTTACAAATAATAACAAATAGAAAGAATAAACCAAAAACGAATAATATGATATTATTTTTTTTAAATGATGCGTAAATCTGTCTTTATAATAATTAATATTTATACTCTAACATTTTTAATCTTTGTATATAGATGAAAATTAAGTATTTTTATTACAATTTAAACTTTGAAATACGCTTACCATGATAACATTTAAAATAATTATCATAAAATAAATACTCGTCATTACAATTATAATTACAATACATGAAAAATATCGCCATTTATAATATTGGTCCACAAACAATTTTCATCAGACAACTGTATTTTTTAAGCTAGTTTTTCGCACCGATTTCAAATATGCAATTAGATATTGTTCTAACTCATATAGTTTTTAAAATAATTACTTATTGATTTTTACAATGGTTTATAAAAAAATGGTATTATTTAAATTGATATGCGGCTAGAAACTTGTATAATTACTATTTATAAATTTTAATTTATGAAAAAATCTTAAAATATCGTCATAAGTAATTAAATAAAAAAAAATTATAGTAATAATTTTTGTGTAATTTTTGGTGTTTAAAAGGATGTTACGATTTAAACATTCATATCTTAATTCATTTTGTAATTATTTAAAATTAAAAAAAAATAATTTTTAATTATTTTTACTAATTAGTAATTATTTTAAAAACTAAATGTGGTAGAAAAAATCTAATTGCACATTCGAAATCATCGCAAAAATTTGGTTTAGAATAGTATTTTTTTGTCTCTGATGATTGTCAAAACGTTCGAAATCATCGCAAAAATTTGGTTTAGAATGGTATTTTTTTGTCTCTGATGATTGTCAAAACGTTGTTAAAACAATGAAAATCAAAATTTAAAATCTATTTCAATGAAATTTTTTCATTAATTTAATTATATATTTTTTTATTATTTTAACTTGAAAGTTAAATTTAATATAAAATGTTCATGTTTTTCTTTTTTTAATTAGATTATAACTCTGTTCAGACCTAAAATATCTAACACAAATAACATTGACATTACAAATCATCAGATAAATAGAAATTGAGGTCAGGATCATCAAGTTAATGTATAATATATGTTAACATATATAACATACCAATACTAACAATATCACACTATTGTATAAAGAATAAAATGCATTTTTATTCTAGCAGATCAAATGAAGCTTTTACTATTACAATTGAATTTATTTTATTACTTATTTCTGGTTACAATGAGTTATAAACTTTTCTATGTAATTAATAGTAAAATAATAAAAACATTTTTTCGACGTTCTTTCACAAAGTGTACAAAAGAAATGATGAACTGAAGTTTGAAAACTCATAATTTATATGAACTAAATTTTACATTTTGTTAATTTTTGAAGTTTAACAAGGGCGAAATTATTAATATAAACTTGCAGATTTTTTCTAAATATTATATGGGGCTTATTCTACTAAAGATTAAAAGTTAAAGAAAAAAAACTGTTCAGTTCTCTCGCGGTTAATCGTTACTGTATCAAACTTTCGCTTTTCTTAATTAAATTTCCACAAAATATAATTGAAAAAAAATTGAATTAATAATTTATTTACAACCATTTCAATTAAATTAAGGAGAAAGTAAGAGATTAGACTATGGCTGGCGATATTTTCAATATAACAATATCGATTTAGATAGATTCCATCTATTAATATTTTAGAATTAATAGTTATAATTATTGATAAATCTATAATAATCAAACGAACGGTAATGATTAAATATTATTAATGTAATAACTATCCAATAAAAGTTAATTATATCAAATACAGAAATTACCAATATATTGAATAAAAACGGGATTGGTGTTAATACCAAATATAGGTATGTGAATTTAAAATACCAACAGCCCTAGATTAGACTTACAAAATAAATAATGAAACAGTCAAGAACCCAACGATTTCCTTCTATAGCACCCTCGATCATACAATAAATGATACTTACCATAAAATTATCAGGCAAATCTCGCTGATTTAGAGGATATATTCTCGAGAATTTGTAACTTTCTGTGAGCACATAAAATGGCTTTTTGAACTCTTTCGCGCAGATAGCCATTGTAGAACTTCCAATCTAAAAAAAAAAAAAATAATTCTCCAATAAATCATAATGTATACAAAAAATATTTCAATTTACTTTTACTCATTATTTGTTTTTTTATTTATTCTTTTTAATGGATAACATAAACAAAATTAATCAATTTTGATGGTCAAATACGTTGCTTATCAAGTTAGTTATTTAATCATTTTAAGATTGGTCTAATTAAAACTTTAATAATCCAAAGTCTACTTGAGCTCCTTTTTATTTATTTACAGTAAATTGCAGGTGAAAATGGAGGTTAAATTTAAGGCAAATCAATCTATAATTTACTTTAATTGTAGAAAAAAATGTTGTTTTTCTAGAATACAATTTTGGTAAACTACTTTAAACATGGTCAATAATAAATAATATATGTAGATTTGATGAATGACTGTGAAGGTTCTTTTACAGAGACGAGATTATAAGAGAGAAATAATACAATTGAAATTAAAATCTAAATTGTCATTTTTATATGGTGAAGTCAGCGGCCTATTTAAATGCAGGCAATATAAGCAACTGCCTACAGCGGCATATTTTAAGGCGCGTCAAATATTAATGGCAACAAATTTATAAAAAGCGAATTATTTTTTTATTGTTTTTAAGACATATTAACGTCCTAATAATTATCATAATTGTTATCATTTATTTATGATATGTATATTACAAGCAATTATTTTATGATTTATTAAAAAACATAGATTTGCTTGAAAAATATTTTTAAATACTTTTTTTTTTTTTTGAGGAAGAATTAGTAGTGTTATTACGTAATTATACAAAAATGAGCCTCTTCCGTCATAACGTTATGAAAGGCGGCAAATTTTTAATACCTATAGGCGGAAAATATGTGAATACGTCCCTGGGTGAAGTGCAGTTTAATGTAAAAGTGAACATATATATATTACTAATATGAAATATTAGTTATCGGTTTTATATGTAAACACAAATGAAAAACACAAGATAGGGTACCTATCAACTTAGGTAAGTGAAAAAAGAGAGATTAATTTTTGTATAATTATACAAAAAAATTTGAGTGGAATAAAAATGTTTAAAAGCGCTTATGTTACATACTTAAATAAAGCTGTTAAGTAAAAAAAAAAAACAAAGTTTAAATGTCTAGAAATTTATTTTCCTTACTTGGGCCCCAATTTATTGAAGATATCTAATTATATTATGACATTACCAATTGACTACATAATCTTATGTTAGATTTAAAATACAATTATTATAATTTAGAAAAGTAAAGAAATACATTTCAACTATTAAATTAGTAAAACTAACTTTTTCATTGAAACGCTACACTATTAATCCTATTAGACAAATATACAAATAAGAGGAGAAGATTAATACTTTATTAATAATGCCACCGCTCTCAACGACACATTCAGCTCCTACCATCACCATATCAATTTTTTCCATTATGTAGCCAACTGCAGAGTCTAAAATTATTGTACAAGGAATTTTTAGTTCGTTCAAACATTTGTACATTTCTTTCCTAAAATTCATACAAATATAAATTATATATACATTATATAATACATTTCTGCGTGGATACCATAATGAGATTTTTATGATAAAAAAAACTAGAGTACATATTTGAGCAAAAAGATTTAATAATTATTTGAGGATAAGAAAATAAATCTTATTTTTAGTCTTCTTCTTTTTCTTCACTTTATCCCAACTACTTGGGGTCAGCCACCCTAATCCATATCTTCAACTTGACACAATCTCTCACATCATCTACGCACACATTAGCCGTCCTCATATAGCATTTGATAACATCCCCCCATTTCTTTTTTGGTTTATATCTACCTCTTCTTCCTTCAACATTAGTTTTCATAACTGTTCTTACAGCTTCAGATTCCTCTCTTCTCATAACATGACCAGACCATCCAAGTCTATTTTTTCTCATCTAATCCATAATTGATGCTACTCCTATACTTTTTCTTACATGTCCGTTCCTTATCCTATCTTCTCTAATCACTCCACTCATCCATCTAAGCATCATCATCTCTGCTACATTCATTCTCTGTTCTATTCTATTATTAACTACCCAACACTTTGAACCATACATCATAGCTGGTCACACTACAGTCTTATAAAACTTACCTTTCAGCCACATTGGAATTCTCTTATGACATAACATACCAGATGCTTCTCTCCACTTCATCCACTCGCACTTAATCCTGTGTCCTACATCCTCGTCAATATCACTGTTTATTGCACAACTTATCCTAAATACTTAAAACTTTCCACCTTTTTTATCACATTATCGCTCATTGTCACTGATCTTCTCATCTCACCTATCTCGTGTTCTCCTGTATCAAACTTTATTTTTATTATGAAAGTTATACAAATTTATCATAACAAAATACATATTTTAATGAATTAAATAATATAACATAAATGTTTGATTAATTAAAACTATTTAGAATTCTAACCAAAATTTTCTTTATAATAAGATTGTAGGTTAATTTACTTAACTTAATATTTTTATTTTAGTTATTTTGATATGTTTAGATTATAAAATGATTAAACACAAATCAGTATAATTATAATTTAAAAGTAACTAACTAATAAAATACTTAATTAACTATATTTAGGTCCATATCACTGTTTATTGCACAACTTATCCTAAATACTTAAAACTAGCCACTTTTCTTATCTCTCCTAAACTCATTCTCTATTCTATTCTTTTTATGTATTTTTTGACCTCCAGTTTAGTAATAATAAAGTAGAATTTATGAACTTTCTGCTAGATTTCAGTTTTACTAAAATTTTATTATGATATTATTATATATGAATGCTAATGTTTCAATATTTTTTTTATTTTAAGATTTGATTAAATTCTATTGAATTGAAATTTTAATTTTATTGTAATACAATTTTTTTAAAGTCCTACACCACAAGTTGTTGGAGATGAAAATATAAACCAAACTTCATCATCAACTCCTGAAAATGAAGCAGTTAATGATGCTACTGCACGCGCAGAAGTTCCTTTGATAGCTGGTGCTCCTACTACCTCATTGCAAATAAGGTTAGCAAATGGATCAAGATTATAATTGTATATTATATAAATAAATTAGAAATTATATTACCCGCTATTATCTATAGTTGATTCAGTCACATAAACATGAAATCTTTTTTGAGCATTTGATGCAAGTTGCATTGCTTCAAGAACTACTCTTGATTTTGAATGTGTTAAAATATTCTGTTAAAATTATAAAATTTAATGCACATATAAATAATGATAATATTTATTTAATTCTTCACTTTATATATTTTATTATTATTATTTTTATAATATACTATTCAGATATGTTCATTTTAATTATTGTGAAAAAATAAAAAAATAATTGTTTAAATTATTTTTTACGTACTTTATTATTTGTTTATAATGCATAAGTGAAATAACATACATACACACACGATCATTTAAAACTTTTTAAAAATATTGTATATTTGAATTACATATTTCCATCATTATTCATAGACAAAAAAAATAATGTAACATTTTTTTGATAAAATAGATCCAAAAAATATGTTTAAAAATGATTAATATCAGTTTTTCCTTACATTATTTACAACAATACAATACATAATTGTAATTTAATGTTATGTAATGATCAACAACTTTTATTAGTTAGTGAAAATAATAAGATACCTTAAAAAAGTTTTTGTGTGATAGATAGTATAATATTCTAAAGAATGAAAATGTTTGCTTTTAAAGTTAAGAATTAACAATACTTACAGCACCATCAACAATAAATGGTAATGTGATTTTAGCTACTTTATTTCTAGCTTCAGTAAGTTTTTTTAGAAAAACTTTCCCTCTATCTAACATTACTTTTTTGCATTCAGCAAAACTCTAAAAAATAATTTTTAAATCAAGAATTTAAATAAGAAAAGTTATTAATAGTACTAAGCAAAATGAATTTATTTTCATTTATTTAAATAATACAAATAGTTATTAGTAATGTTACAAAACCTGATTTTAGAGATTGAACCAAACTTAAAATAAATTTTTAATTTTATAATCAACCTGAACAATAATTTTGATCACTTTCAAACAAAACATTTTTTAATGTCATTCTTCAACAAATAGAGTGTTCTATTTAATTTGACTAATTCAGTTTTCCAAACTGATTTACAAGGAAAAAGTTTGATTTGGTAATTAAACAGTTCTAACCTCATAAATAGTTATAAAAATACAAAATTTTAAAGTACTTACAATATTATCTAGTTTAGCAAAAGTTATAAAACGCATAAATAAAGCACATCCTGAAGAAACACCTGTACTCCGGCTACTTCCTTTTGATATTATTTCAACTGCAGATTGTAAATTAAAATCCAATTCTTGAACAGTTTCAGCTAAAAAATATTAAAAATTTTACAAAATTTAATTCATTATGTAATTGATTGCTTAAAAAATCTTAATTTTATCAAAACAGGAGAGCAAAAAACAAATTTTTGTGCTATTGACACTGCATTATATTTGTTCTCGCCAACCACACAGTTTGAAGTATACTAATTGGTGCCATATGTACAGTGCTTGGCAGCACTTCCACTCCCCTCGGTTAGCACTCTTATCAGCAGCCAATGTCAGCAAGCTGGGTTGTAATATTTTAAAGGCACAATATTTTTTTCAAGGTTAAAATAAATATCCTTTTAGTTTTTGTCTATTAAGTTTTTTTGGTTGTTACAATTATTTGTAAGTTAAATTTTTAAACGAGAGTTTCATTTATAAGACTTATGTTGAAGATAGTAGATACAATCTAATCTTCGATTTGTTAAAAAGAAGTATATTACAGTCTTATTCTGAATAATTGAATTAAAGTACTTAGTTTTTTTTAGATGCAAGTTTTTTCTGATAGTATATAATGTTGTTTATTGGATATTCCATATTCTAATTTTCTGCTTTTTATGTATTTTATTGTTATAATGATGTGATGTCTGTAAGTCTTGGTTATTGTAGTCATACTCTCATGGAGTTAAAATTGTTTATTGTAATTTAGGTCTATTATTGTATAATTATGAAACCCAGAGAGAATTGAACCAGCTACCTGAAGAGTCTTAGGTTACATAGTCAATAAGATTAATAATTATTATTGTAATAATAATAATATATAATTTCATTATAATAATAAAAATCAGGTACCAAGTTCCCACTAATAAATCAAATTAGTACTACTGTCTGTAATAATGAAATTATACAGCAAACACAGTTTGTTCTATATAATACATTAATCAACAAGAAATGATTGCCAAATTATACAACTTTAGAACGTCTAGTGCTCAGATTATTACTATATTGTGTTAAATAATACTAATCATCATCTACTTAGCCTCTATTCCAAATATTTGGGGTCAGATTTACCAACACTGACATAAAATAAGTTATAAAATAAAAGCAAAAATCAGCTAATTAAAATTTTTTTAATCATATTTGTTAAAAAGATGATTACTTACACTTATCAAGTTCCAAGAGTTTCATAAGGGTAATTATTGCTGCTATACTGGCAGTAACATCTGGCTTTTTTTCCATAATATTTGTGAAATAGTTAAGTACCTCTAAAAAAGAATTTAAAAAAAGATACAAAATCTAAAAAAACCCAGCACAGGGGGGTCGCGGCACAGTGATGCCGTGGTATAGTTCAAGTATAATGATATCTGACAGTGATTAAAATCACTATCAAAAAAATATCTTCGATGCAAATCTTTAGATTGTATTTAATTTTAAAAAAATTGGTGTATTATTCCAAAAGCTACATGATCTGCTAGTTCCTTATTAATATCTTGATTAAGATAAAGTATGTCAAATGAAAAAAGGATTATTAAAAAATATTATTTCTCATAAAAAAATTGTGTTGATCCATACACTTTTCAATAAGTTATAGCATTATAAAGTAAAAAATTTAAAATACAAAATCGAAAATTTACACACAAAAATAGCATTTGGTAGCCATTTTCACCATGAAGACAAGTCCAGAGGTCAAATTTTTTTTTTTCAAATTAAAGTATATTACATTAACTTTAATTTAAGATATATATAAAAGTGTCAGACCTTCCGGAACACTTTCAAAAGTTAAGTTGAAAAAATTAATTTTTTGTAAAAAAGTTGTCATTTTAAATTCCCCCCTGTGGGCAGGTAAAAAGTCAGATTTATAAAAAAAATATACCAAATGATAGGTAATGACATCACGCATCTATAAAAAAAAGAATTATATTGATGTTCATTTTTGAAAAAGTTACGGCAGTTTTTAGTAAAAAAAATTTCGAAAATTAGCAATTTTTAAATTTGTAATTTTATTGGAGGTTTCCCCCATTTACGGGGAACGAGGGAAATTTTTCAATTTTTAAGGATAATGTCTTCGACTAGATACAATTTGTGATCTTTTGACGTATCGTTGAAAGAAATCCGTTCGGTGAGAGCTGAGAAAAAGTGATAACAGACACAAAAAAAAAAAAAACACATAGTAAAACCAATACCTTCTCAGCTTTGCATCGAAGCTAAAAAATTAATTTACAAATTTCATATTGTAGAATCCTCTATGTAGTGTCATCACTTGATTTTACGAGGCCATTGCAAACCTATTAACTGCAAGATAGAATGGAAACCCTACCTTACATATTTTAAAAGGGTAAAAGGGGAGTACAGATTAATTTCTGTACACAAATAACAACTTGAAATGTAAATATCAAGATGTTTTACTATTGTGTCTGACTCATTAATACTCAACTTCTATTGGACTAATATTAACAATCAATATATCAAATGAACTTAAACTATATTTAGGTTGAAAATTAACCCTAAATTTTTTTTATTAATCTAAATTTCTAAAAAGAGCAATTGTTGAAAATGACCTATTCTAATTTTTTAAAAACATCAGAAATAATCATTCAGTTATATGAATTTAAAATGCACGAATAAACACAAAATTTATATAGATTATACTCTTATTAAACAAATTTTTGAAAATTTAATTAATAGAATAAGTAAAATTAAAGTTAGAATATAGCTATAGATTATGTCAAAAAGTTTTTTTCTGTAATGACAACATTCTAAAAATCCTGATCTATTTTAAAAGATATTATACTAAAGTATATACAAATAAGATTTAAATTTAAAAAAAATGTTTTGTTGGGTTCTTTTCTATTGTATTATATATTTATTATTATAAAATTAATAGAATTTATAAAGTAGAGATTTATGAGGATTTCATAGTATTGACATTTAAATATGACCAACAGATTATTTTTTTTAGTTTAGAATATAATAATAATTTTATAGTAAAATGTATAGCATAAAAAAGTAATATAGTACAGTAACAACAATACCTATCCAAAAGTAATATATCCTATTCATTATTTAAAATTTAAAATAACAAACCTTCTTCCCGCATTTAATGTTGGTTGATTAAATAGGCTTAAACAATTCTTGCACAGTCTAATAATCTGTAGATTTTTTAATTATTACTTTTGAATCCTTACTAAAAATATTTGAAAATATATAAACTTTTCTTAAATATTACCTGATCTATGGTATTATCACTCTGCAACAAAAACAGAAAATTGAACCACAGAACAACTGTTATTATGTGATAAAAGTATGAGTTTAGATAGTTGTTATCTAAATTTATTTAAGTCTTGTAAACTGTACATGAGATAGACGCATAGATTTAATTAATGCATGTAGTATAATTCAACTCTATTAAATCAACAGAAATACAATTTTCAATAATTCCTTAATTGAAAATCTACAAAATTTATCAAATTATACAATAAGACTATGTATTATATATATATATTATTGTTTTTTAAATAAAATTATTTTTATCGTGGTCATAATAGTTTAATTTCTTTATGTTTTTAGAAGTGACTTGTTAATTTCTTTCATGTTAATAAACTCTGTCATCCATGATTATATTTGCAAAAATTTATCAAGATGAGGAAATATCAACAACTTCTACTTATTATTATATCATTAGTAAGCATTTTTTCACTGCTAACATACAGATATGAGTACATGCAACTTCTGAATGTAATAGAAGTGCTTAATTTTTTTGGATATCCAGCTAATGATTTAACAAATTGTACCATTTTAAATGGTACCTTTCTTAATGACATTGAAAATAATAACAAATTGGCTAAGCCAATGGTGTCATGGACAAAAATTGATGAACATTTTGCTTATTCAGCCTTTTGGTTACAAGAAAATGAATCAGTTTATATAACAGTTATTGGTCCTAAAACAGCTTTTTCTGGATATGATTGTCGTGTTTGGTATAAGTTAGGTGACCATTACATTTCAAGTCCTGGTACATTTTCTTATAATTTATCATCAGACAGCAACAAAAAAATTAATTTTTACCATTATAGCATACATTGCAAACCAATAAATGTTCCAATTGATGCAATACCTTATGGAATACTATTGGGTAGAGAAAATTCATTGAAGCTCTTTGTTCCTTTACGACTACAAGAAGAATCATATCATAAGGACAATTTAGTTATTTGTGTTTCACCTGATTATTCTGGTATTCCAGATACAAATTTAGTTGAATTTATTGCTTATCATGTTATGTTAGGAGTCAAACAGTTTTTAGTGTATGACATAGGGATTCATCATCAAGTTTTAGAATTTTTAAATTCAATTGCTGGTCATAAATCTATGCACAACTATAAAATATCAACTCTTTCCTGGCAATTTCCTACAATTGACAAAAATTTAGAAAAGTCTGTTTTATTGAATGATTGCATTATGCGAACTCAAGGAGAAACTAAACATCAAATATTACTTTCATGGGAACAATACTTAGTATTTAATAAAGATTCTAATTTTAATTTTTTAGATCAAGAAAATACTAATTATGCATTTGAAGTCATGAAATGTTGTACTAAACGTCTAACAAAGAAATCTTGGCCTTTGGCTATGAGAAAAACACTTTGTGAAAAAACAAATGAAACAAATAATATAGATAGTGTTAATAGACTTAAGATTAGTAATTTTCCTACTATACTTGGATCAATACACAATTTAGAAGAATTTTGTAATAAAACTATGGGTAAAGAAGATGTAAGTATGACAAAATATTTGAACTCTTTCATGAACAGCAAACTTTTGAACTTATGGAAAACACATGTACAATTTTCTATGATTAATTTAAGAAAATCAAAACAATTACCTTAATTAAAAATTATTTAAATGATGTGTATTTAATTATTAAATAATATGTAAAATATATATTTTTATAATTATTATATATGAATTTTTTTAATTTTAAGTCTTATTTTTAATATACATATTAAATAATTACAGCAAGAATATAACTCAACCAAAACGTTGAAAAATCACAGTATTTAACAGTCCAGCATCAACTATTGTTTGTTCATTGTTCTCTAGAGCTTTTGGTGGATATGATGATTGTAGTATAAATGGTCTTGTGGCAAAACTAGATCTTGCTCTATATAATTTTGAACGTTAAAGATATTTGTTAAAATAATAATAATTATCCAAAATTTGTAATATCATTCATTAATTATTTTTAAGAAATTAACTTTGAAAATAAATTAGTGTTCTAAATATTTTACATGGAAATCATTAACTAAATATATTTAAAAGGATACGTTGTAATATATCGACGAACATCACCAATAGTATGACTGTGATTAAATGTAGCAACTAATCTTGATCCATTTGCTAACCTTATTTGCAATGAGGTAGTAGGAGCACCAGCTATCAAAGGAACTTCTGCGCGTGCAGTAGCATCATTAACTGCTTCATTTTCAGGAGTTGATGATGAAGTTTGGTTTATATTTTCATCTCCAACAACTTGTGGTGTAGGACTTTAAAAAAATTGTATTACAATAAAATTAAAATTTCAATTCAATAGAATTTAATCAAATCTTAAAATAAAAAAAATATTGAAACATTAGCATTCATATATAATAATATCATAATAAAATTTTAGTAAAACTGAAATCTAGCAGAAAGTTCATAAATTCTACTTTATTATTACTAAACTGGAGGTCAAAAATTACATAAAAAGAATAGAATAGAGAATGAGTTTAGGAGAGATAAGAAAAGTGGCTAGTTTTAAGTATTTAGGATAAGTTGTGCAATAAACAGTGATATGGACCTAAATATAGTTAATTAAGTATTTTATTAGTTAGTTACTTTTAAATTATAATTATACTGATTTGTGTTTAATCATTTTATAATCTAAACATATCAAAATAACTAAAATAAAAATATTAAGTTAAGTAAATTAACCTACAATCTTATTATAAAGAAAATTTTGGTTAGAATTCTAAATAGTTTTAATTAATCAAACATTTATGTTATATTATTTAATTCATTAAAATATGTATTTTGTTATGATAAATTTGTATAACTTTCATAATAAAAATAAAGTTTGATACAGGAGAACACGAGATAGGTGAGATGAGAAGATCAGTGACAATAAGCGAGAATGTAATAAAAAAGGTGGAAAGTTTTAAGTATTTAGGATAAGTTGTGCAATAAACAGTGATATTGACGAGGATGTAGGACACAGGATTAAGTGCGAGTGGATGAAGTGGAGAGAAGCATCTGGTATGTTATGTCATAAGAGAATTCCAATGTGGCTGAAAGGTAAGTTTTATAAGACTGTAGTGTGACCAGCTATGATGTATGGTTCAAAGTGTTGGGTAGTTAATAATAGAATAGAACAGAGAATGAATGTAGCAGAGATGATGATGCTTAGATGGATGAGTGGAGTGATTAGAGAAGATAGGATAAGGAACGGACATGTAAGAAAAAGTATAGGAGTAGCATCAATTATGGATTAGATGAGAAAAAATAGACTTGGATGGTCTGGTCATGTTATGAGAAGAGAGGAATCTGAAGCTGTAAGAACAGTTATGAAAACTAATGTTGAAGGAAGAAGAGGTAGATATAAACCAAAAAAGAAATGGGGGGATGTTATCAAATGCTATATGAGGACGGCTAATGTGTGCGTAGATGATGTGAGAGATTGTGTCAAGTTGAAGATATGGATTAGGGTGGCTGACCCCAAGTAGTTGGGATCTAGACTAAGTAAAAGAAAAAGATTACGCAAAGAAACACTACCCCAATAACAATTCACGTATATATTGTATTAAGTAATGATGTGTGTCCAGATAGAATATTATTAAAAATGGAATTTCCATTTTACATCCAATATTCCAATTAAAATATTATTACATATTAAAATAATTATACAATGTTTTTTGTATTTATTGAAACATCAATATCAGTAATTTTGAAATTAGTCAAAAAATTTTTATAACATAAATATTGTATTCGATTTATCAATGTTTTAAAATCCCTATTAAATTGTAATAAAATCAGAAATATAATTATTTTATACTTACATTACTAATTTTACAACCATAACTATTTTATTATTTATATATAATTGTTCTTAACATTTAGTTTTACAAAAACAATTTTAAAAACAAAAATATTAAATGTTGATCAATAAATTATTAATAATATTTACTATATTTTATTTATGAAAAAAAGGATGGTTGTTTAATTATGATTCACGTCATATCTTTTTTTCTTTTCAAAAATTAATAATAATGTATGTTCTATTATTTTAAAAAAAATTTGTCTGATTCCCCTTTCTTTACATTTAAAATTTTATCTAATATTGTTATTTTGTGGAAACTTAAAATAATTAAGAAAATTACTGCTAGATAACAACTTTAGTACCAGTATTTTAAAAGATAGTGGCATTTTGATAAACAGGCAGGAGGAATAGTGTGATCCATAAATATCTAGAGATTAAATAAATAGCTAAGTACAAAGCTAAGAAAACCTTAGTTTACATCTGATTGTATATAATATATTAAAAAAAATCCAAAGTTAAATAACTTAAAAGTATCATATACCTTCCTAATAGGTGACCAGATCCTCCAAATAATTTCTTTTTTGGTTTAGAAGGAGTATACTCTTCAAATCTATGATCTTCAATGCTTACATGTAATTCTTCTTCGCTAGTTACATTAGCTTCTTTTAAAAGTAATGGAGGTACTTCCCTAGAATATATCAAAATAGTTTATACACAGCATTGAAAAAAACTTGAGTGTATATTTTGAGGAGATATACTAAATGAATTAATGTTCACAAAATATTTTAGAAAATAATAGTTAATATTTATGTACTAACAAATATTTCTTTGTATTTTATATTTATTTTTAATTTACCTTGATACATATTTAAGATTTTTTTTTTAACTAATAATAATTTGAATTAAATTTATAATAATACTAACCCACGAGCAACAAGAAGTAAAAATTCTCTGTTTTCTTGTTGTTCAATACTATGCAGTTCACCATCATTAATGGTGAAGCCTTCTTTCCACATCTTCAACACAACTTCTTCTTGAGGTTGACATGCATTTTTACCAGAACTATTTGAATGAATTACTAAATAAATACAATATACAAATTAATCGACAAAAAAAATTTACATGACTATTAAATTTACCTTCAGTGTCATTATCAGTTTGGCCTAATTTATAACCAGTACCAAAAAAGGATGTTGAACAACCACTGTCCTGTGAAGGATTTCCTGTTACACCAGAGGATGATGAACTTGCATATCTAATACACAAATAAAATTTACATAAAATAATTGATGCCTCATATTTTACAAGTAATGAAATTTATTATAATTGCAATAAGTGATTTATAAGGTATATTATTAAATATAGCTTAAGTTTCATTATTAATAATTTTGAAATATTTTATAATAAAAAAATTCCATAATATATTACATTGTCATTATATATTCTAAAATAAATATAATAATTAATATTCACTTTTGAGCAGCTTGAAACATATCAGTCATAACATCTGCATTATTTCGTGGTGGTCCAATAACTTGTTGACCACTTGTGATCGATCCACCAGCATAAAATCTTTGGCCTTCATCCTCATCACTATCTTTATCTTCAACTTCAGAATTTTTCATACTGCTAAATGTCATTATTCTAAAACCATAATTAACATTTTATATTTGAAGGATAAAAATTATTGATGTTACAGCATGTGATAAAATGTACAATGTGAATAATATTAATTTATTTGGCTATTGTTAGCACAATAATTTCTTTTGTATTTTATTCCAAGTGCCTAGGAAAAAAATAATACAAAATTATACCTAGATTTAGACTGCCATTTTTTTGGTTTAGAAGATGATTTATAACTTGTAGAACTAGTCATTGGGTTATCGCTAGATGCCGGAACTGATCTTGAAACAGATGAACTAGTATTATCACTCAACACTTCATCATTTCCCTCATCATAAAAACTAGCCAATGCTGACTGTAAATAATTTTTTTTATTAAAATTAACCACTTTTTATTAATTACTAATAAAATTACTTCCAAGTTCCAAGCGGCCGATTCTAAAAAGAATTTGGCCCTTTCTTGGTCAACGTTTGTAATTCCTCTGAATTCATTAATTTTGTTATTATTGTCAGATTCACTCATCTTAAAAAATTAAATAATAATAAAACAATAAAAAACAACTTGAGATTTAAATGACAGGAAAAATGAATATTAAAATAAAGAATTTTTAATTTATAAAGATAGTAGTGTTTGAATCATAAAACTCAACAACATAGAAAACGCTCGTAATCGTATTATATTATCAATAAAATAATATATATTCAAAATCATGACGTAACCTTAAATATGTTAGACAGTGTTTCAGGCATTGTATAAATATAATTTAATAGACAAAAAGTATACATTTATATGGTTTTAAATTATTATACTCAATGAAAGCTAATAAATAATCTAAATGTATTATTATAGATATTCTATAAAAATACTTCTTATATATTTAGCTAAAGTACTACAAATAGTGAGTAAACATTATTTTATTTTTCTAAGTAGATAACACTGTTGTGTTTTATATTTTAATTGTTAAATATAATAAGACCTGCTACTAGAAATGATAACATACTGTTAACAACATTCTTATATAGAAAGAAGTTGTCAATATCATTAGTTCATTTATTTCATCGCATTTTATAGTTTTTTTTAAGTTTTTAAGTTTTTTAAGTTTTTTTTATAGATACTTTTCAAAACCTTATCTAAACCGTACAAGAATCAGCAAATAGTTTTGGTTTTTAAAAACCCTGAAAAATTCATTATATTGAAATTTATATATATATATATATATAATTTATTTTCTTTGAGACATATATTAAGTTAAAATGTCAGATGCTTTTGATAAACTTCGAATGATGGAAGATGAAATGAACAAGTATGCTATTGTTTGAACTATATTCTTTTTATTACTTATTATAGGATTGAGAAAGTATTATTTTTTAAATTTTTAAATTAAGAATCTTTGAGTTTCAAAACATCAATTAATATAATTTTTTAATGATACAAATAAATAAACTTTTTATATATAGTTTATATCTAAGGACCTATGTTTTTTTTTAGGTAGACCAATGCTGTGATACAAAATAACATTTTTATTTTTATGACTTTAAAAAATAACTTATTAAAAAAAGTCTATATCTTGAATAAACCATCTTGTATAATACTATTTAATTAGTTTTAAATAAAACATTTTTTTTTTATGTTACATATAAGATGAAAGAAAATAGGTTTAAATGGTTTAGTCATACGATAAGAATATATCTGAAGTAGTAAGAACAGTTATGGAAATGAATGGTGAAGGAAAAAGAGGATGAACAAAAAATGGATGATAGATGAGGACTGCTAGTGTGTGTACTTCTAAAACTATGAGAATGAGCAGAATAACATGCAAAGCATTAGTGCATATACTTATTATAACTGAGGTAACTAGTATAGGGCTAAGGTTTGTGTCACATTTAATGTTCTCGTATGATTACTTATTTGGATACCAATAGCGAACAGCGCAGCTAAATATCAGCACTAAGAAAAAAATGCATGATCTCCTGCGCCATAACATGCCCTATAATGTATTATTTAATATAATGTCTTTAAATGGGATAATTATTTAATTTTAGATATTTACTATAAATAAATAATTAACTTAATTAGTGACAATAATGTATATAATTTTAAGTACAGCTAATGATAGTATGCAAAAATTCCTACTAGTAAAATAGAATGTTTTTAAGTTATTTTCTATTAAAAACTATTTAATCTATATGTTATAAATATGTATTTAAACTGTACTTTTAAACCATTTTTAGGTTTGAAGAAGAAATTGGTATTCCTAATTATGTTGGAGCCCATTCTTACAATCAGATTTCCTTACCTTCTAATACAGGTAATAAAATCTATAAACTAAAATAAAAGTTTTATAGTCAACAAAATATGGTTTATTGTTTGATTTCTCCAATTTTATGATCATATAATTTTCTGTAAACATGCTAAAATATCTTCTAATTTATTCTTTCTGTTAGACTATTTGTTGGTCTTTTAGTTAATTTAATTATATTCATTTAAAGTAATAATGAAATGAATATTTTTTTTCTCCTAAACTTTAGATGATTATTCGATGATGGCACAACAGAATTTAATCCATTCTCAAAGGTACAATAATGGTCAACCGTCATTTACAAATAGTCAAATGTTGTTACAGCAACCACAAAGAAAATTTAATGTGAAAACTGATAAAACTATAGGTCCTGTAATTCTTAGGTATGTTTTTATTTTAACCTAAAAACATTTTTTTAATCAGTTATGTATTAAATAAATTGTTGTTTTTTAAGTGGAGCTCCTAAATTATACAGCTCAAAATCGGAACAACTAATTCCTACAAATGATTTATTAATTAAACCAGAAGATGTTATGAAAATGACTTCTAGTATTAATCCTTTAAAAAAAGAATCAAAAAAAACAACACAAACAGTATTGCCTGGTAAAGAAATGGCTGAAGCTGTAAAAGCTAGTTCAAAAACTGTTGTTGTGTCAGCCGGTGGTAATGCTGTTGCTGCAGCAGAATGTGCAGCATCAATACCTAATCAATCTGCTAAAAACAAAGGCAAAAAGAACAAAAAATTTGTACGGACATCTGGAGGACAAGTATGGGAAGATCCCACACTCGCAGAGTGGGATGAAGGTAATAATTAAAAATAATATTAAAATAATTGAAGCAATTATTTTTATTAAATAGTTTAATGAAAACAATCTAATTCAGATTTTTTTAAGCTATTCAATTTTTTCAATATCATGATTTATTTAATTATACCAGGGACTTATTAACAACTCATTTTAAGGGGGAAACATCATTTTTTTAGCTTTGATGCAAAACTGAAATGGTATTAATTTTACAATGAAGTGTTTTTTTTTTATGTCTATTACCGCCTTTTCTCAGCTCGCACCAAACCAATTTCTTTCAATGATACATCAAAAGATTACAAATCGTATCTAGTCAAAGACAGTACCCTCAAAAAGTGATCAAATTTCCCTAGTTTCCTGTAGATGGGAGAAATCTCCAAAAAAAAAATTACAAATTTAAAAATTGTTAATTTTTGACATTTTTAAATTTTTTTATATGTAAAACTGCTGTAACTTTATGAAAATAGATGAAAAGAACAATTTTTTGTATTTTATTTTAAAATACCTTACAAGAAGAGTATACGAGGTGTGTTCAAAAAGTAAGGTGACTTGATATTTTTATGAAAAACTATTTATTTATTCATCAATGTTTATGTTGTCCCCTTCAAAGTAATCCCCCTCAGATGTAATACACTTGTGCTAACGCTTTTTCCAATCTTCGAAACACTTCTGATAAGCACTTTTTGGTATAGCCTTGAGCTCTTTCAGCGATGCAGTTTTTATCTCCCCAATCGTTGCAAATCTTCGTCCTTTCATAGGGTTTTTCAATTTTGGGAACAGAAAAAAGTCGCATGGGGCTAAATCAGGTGAATATGGTGGCTGAGGCATGATTGTGGTGTTGTTTTTGGCCAAAAAATCCCTCACAAGCAACGATGAGTGAGCAGGTGCATTATCATGATGCAAAAGCCATGAATTGTTTTTCCATAATTCCGGACGTTTTCTTCGTATTGCTTCTCGCAAATGACGCATAACTTCAAGATAATACTCCTTATTGACCGTACGACCTTGTGGTAAGAACTCCTGATGCACTACGCCACGACAATCGAAGAAAACTGTGAGCAAAACCTTGACATTTGATCGAACTTGGCGTGCTTTTTTCGGTCTTGGCTCTCCTTTGGGTTCTTCCATTGGGACGATTGAACTTTGGTTTCGATGTCATAACCATATACCCATGATTCGTCACCAATTATGACCCTTTTGAGCAAATCAGGATCATCATTGACGTCATGCAACAGCTCCAGAACGATGCTCATGCGACGATTCTTCTGGTCAAAATTAAGCAGTTTCGGAACAATCTTCGCTGACACACGTCTTATGCCCAAAATATCCGAAAAAACTTCATGGCACGAGCCAACCGATATGCCAACATCCTCAGCAACTTCTCTGATAGTGATTCGTCGATTTTCCAAAACAATTTTCTTCATTGCTTCAACGTTTTCATCTGTTGTTGACGTGCTGGGACGTCCAGAGCGAGGTTAGTCATTGACATCTTCTCGGCCATCTTGGAGNGTCCAGAGCGAGGTTCGTCATTGGCATCTTCTCGGCCATCTTGGAAAAGCTTGTACCACTTATAAATGTTATTTTTACTCAGAGCGGACTCACCGTATGTTACTGTCAACATTTCAAGTCTATTAGAACACTTAATTCCATTTTTGACACAAAATTTGATGCAAATTCTTTGATCCATTTTTTTTTTGATAGCAGAAAATCGCCGAGCACACCAAAATACGTCTAATCTTTGTATCTGTCAAAAACAAACTAAATATGCTATATACTTGAAACTGTGTACAGATGTTCGGTACGAATGTACCAACGTGACATAAAAAAAAATCTAAGATCGAACCGACGTAGCCCGCGAAATTTGAAAAGTCACCTTACTTTTTGAACACACCTCGTACTGTTTTTCATAAATATTATATAAATCTAATTGATATAGCATAGAAAGTTAAACTTATTTAAAAAATTTTTGCTTCTTTTAAGTGGAGAAAAATAAATTTTAAATAGCTTAAATTGTCATTTGTATTCACTAAAGAAACATGACATAAGGTTACCATGTCGGTAGTACTTGTGTCTTTCAAACTTGAGGTACAACCCCTATATGGGATTGGATTTCATTGTATTTTTTTCTTAACTCTTAACAAATTAGACAAATTTTTCAATTCATTTGATTTTTATCTCCTTTATATTCAATAACTTCAATAAATACTATAAGTATAAAATATTGCATCAAGCCCTTTAATTTTTATACATGTTTTTCATAGAAGTAATGAAATAAACTACTTTATCATTTTTTGTTATTTCTCTGTAAAAATTACAATATTGAATTATTAAATATTCATTTCATACCATATTTAATTGCTATAATAAACATTTATTTATAAATTTTACTTTTAAATCTAAGAACTACTAATCGGGATATAAGGAAATAGAAGTTGATGTTCTTTTATAATTATGCACTAATTTCTTAAAATAAAACACTATCTACAGATTTGTCTTGAAGCGTGTTTTATGATAGTGATTTGAATTATTGTCAGATGTTATCTATACTTGTTCATTCAAACTATCCTACATCCATACTGTGCTACTGTATTTTATTTTGGAAGGTCTGCTAGAAAAAAATTTTTTGGTTAAATAGTAGAATGACAAAAAAAAAGTCTTAAGAATTATATTTTATAAATATTAGCTTTAAATAATATTGATAGTGCTAGTTTTAACAAACAATTTCTCTTGTTAACACCACTCTTAAATACATTCCTGAATAGTACATTAATAACATAGCTCAACATAATTGAATCGCAATTTATTTGATAATTTTTTTGTTTTTAAATTCAGTTAAACTTTTTAGTGCAGATTTAAAATAAATAAGTCTACATGATTTTTAATTTCAACTATTTTTAGATATTAAAAATAAAAATTGCAATAATATTGATTTTTTTAATTAAAAATTATGTTTCTTTCAACAATCATTATAATTATAACAATTTCTTCTAAAATATAAAGTCCATTATAATACTTTTGAAATCTTCATAACTTTCTATATATATATGATTATCAATTGTAAATAAAACCATATTTAAAAATAGTTATTTTGATAAGTTCAACTTTACTTTTTGAAAAAAGCTATAATTTTATCTCAGATACTCATAATAATGACACAACTTAATTGTACAATTTCAAATTTTTATTAATGTAGTTTCTATTTTAATAAAAATAGATAACTATATTTTTTTAGCTTAATATTTAAGCTAATATATTTTTGGTTAAAATAATTCTGTAATTCTATAATTTTATAATCACATTAAAATTTTTATTTATGTCAATTATTTAAATATACTAAATGTTTTAAATTATATATTTTAAGGTTTTTCCACTAATTATGTTTTAATATCATTAAAGATGACTTCAGACTATTTTGTGGAGATCTTGGGAATGATGTCACTGATGAGTTATTAGCAAGAACATTTAGCCGATATCCATCGTTCCAAAAAGCTCGTGTTGTTCGAGATAGACGAACTATGAAAACTCGTGGTTTTGGTTTTGTTTCTTTTAAAGATCCAGCAGATTTTATTAGAGCTACAAAAGAACTTAATGGTATGAATAAAAAAAATGTAGAAAATGTAGAAAAGTAAATTGATTTAAGGTATCATTATTTGGTTTTTAAGGTCGTTATGTTGGAAGTAGACCTATTAAATTACGAAAAAGTATGTGGAAAAATAGAAGTCTAGAAGTAACTAAGAAAAAGGAAAAAGAAAAAGCTGCTCTTATTAGCTTACTAACTGGTCAATCTTCATAAAGTAAAAAACTATTAATATTTGTAAATAAACATGTTACTTTAATACTCAATTTATATTGACAATATTTGATTCCTTTTCTTTGACAAACTATAAATATATTAAATTATATATTTTGTGAAATTGTATTTGCTTTAAACTTAATAAGAAATACCATTCTTAATCTCTATTCTTTTTATAATTTATCATAAATGTTTGTCTCTTTGAAATGACAAACACAGAAAACAGTTAAAAGATTATTTTAAGTATAACAAGTTAGAATACTAATTGTTTATAGATACAATTATCAATCATGTCTATTGTATTTTAAATTAGTAATACTAAATGTCCATGAACTATCTACAGCAATAATATAGTTTAAATTGGGTCTCTAACAGCTGGAAATCATTAGTAATAATTTAACCATGAGCATTCTCGCGGGGATTAAATACACTATAATGAAGCTGTATTTTAGTGAGGTAATAAAAATATCTCAAATATGTGTTCCCCTAAGATATACCTTATGAGTGTCATTGATTTTAACTATAAGTTAAGTGTAACAAAATATCTTTACATAACACAATATATATCAAATATTACAATTAGATAATTCATGAAATATCAACATTTAATTTTAACAAAATTTAGTGATGTATACAAAAAATAATTTAAGAGAAAAGGTAACTTTAAATAATATTTAATTTTTACATTGGAATTAATACTGAAATTTCAAATAAATAACAAGTAAAATTCAATTGTAATAAGTTATTGTACACTAAACATAAATTATTCAAAATAAATATTTAACTTTTTTTTGTAATTTATAGTTTTAATAACATATTAGAATAGAAATGTTCATTTCTATTACATAATGGTAGAAATCTAATCATTTCAACATTCAACAATGTTATAAAACTTTACATCATCAATTTTTATTAAAATCATACAAATAATTTGTAATTTAAATTGCTGTGACTTTAAAAATATTTTTCAAAATTAATCAGTGATTATAAAATTTATTACATAATAAGAACAAGAATGTATCAATTTTAATAATCAATTTTATTTTTATGAAATTAATAAATAAACTTAAAAAAATTTAAAAGTGCAACAAAAACAGTTATGTACAAAAATACTACCTTAAAAAAATAGTTTAAACGAAATAGAAATCACAGTTCTCAATTAATTTTGTCAATAGTTAATAAATTAAATCATTTCTCAAAATCGAATGAATTTAAATAATCAATGTACCAACAATCAACATTTTTAATTAAATATAAAAGATACAATTTATAAGTTTACAGCTATAATCTATAAAATACACATAAAATATAAATACAATATTTACAAATTAATTTACTTTACACTTATTAATAAATAGCACATACATTTTCGGTCCCATTTAATAAAACAAAGTAGTTAAATTAAAAAGATTATTTGTAACAGTAGTAGACATTTTTTACATATTAAATAAATTGTAGTTTAAATTTAATTTATAACAAAAGAAATTCACCTTTGAAAATGTGATTTAATAACTAACTTTTGTAATATTAAAATTGTTTAGCATACTAACTTTGGTACTATTTTACAATATTTATCTGTTTTAAAAGTTAAGTATAAGTTAATGTAAAATATGTTACAAATATTGAACCAACAGAACTAAAGATTATTTTAAATTGTCATTAAAATTTAAGCTACTTAGTATTAATCAAAAATACTTAATTTGAAATAAATGCACAATATATTTATATAATTTGTACAACATATAAACCTTAAGAGGTTTATATATATATGGATGTATATTTTGGATCCAAATTATTAAAAAAAATATTTTCCTACTATTAATATTATTTCTCCTGGTGATAAGTACTCATTTTATCAAATAACTTTTAAAAAAGTATTATTGAGACTGTTAAAATATAAATGTATTTGTAGTTTACATACGGTATTAATCTTTATAGTAAAAAATAAGGTGCAATAAAATTTGATTTTAATAAAAATATTTACTAACATATTAAAAAAATTGTAATACCACTCATATTTTAAGTATACTTAAATATTTAAAACCTATTTTTCATTAATATTAAGCAGGATGGAATCTAATTTAAATAAGTTGTATTTAAAAAAATGTTACATGAAAGTATAACTAAATTAATTAAAAAAGCCATTAATATTCAATTAAATACCAACAATTGTAATTGTTTTTTTTTTAAGTTCCATAATAGGACTTGTTTGCTGAACAACTTTGCAACATTACTTAAGAGGTAATTTTCATAGAAAATTTATAAAATAATTGGTAAGGAAAATATTTGATTACGATGAAATACTTTTTTATTTCTAATAATCATATAGCATGTTTCCTTAGAACAAATATTACATTGACATTCTTTAGTTTAGTTTAGTTTTATAAGACATGTTTACACTTCTAAAAGATGTATAATACAGATGAATTAAAGTATTCATAGGAACTTGATGAGATAATTTATAGTAATGAAACTGTTATTAAAGCATAGAAACCACTTTTAAAAAAAAAAGTCATTACTCCTTGGACAAGTTAAAATCTTCACGTTTCTACTTGATCTTAATGATTTTGAACAATCTCTATCATTACAGTATTTATCCTAAAAAAAATGGATAAACTCAAAATTATTACTATCACTTTTTATTAAAATTAAAAACTTACATCTGGGGTATGCATGTTCAACAGAATACATATTAGGTGAACCAGAAGCACTTGATACAGTTTTTCTTTCATCAGTTGAATTATCTGACCAATCAACAACATTACTACTTGAAATACAATGTACCATTGGTTGCCTGTTGTGTATATCAGAAAACGTTGAAGATGGAGACAGAGCAGCATCTAAGTCGGCAGTAACTGAACTTGAGGGCATCTCAACTTTTGTTGGAGGACTATGACCACTAACAGGACTTAATGTTGTTGTATCAGGTGGACTACCGACATAAGAATTACGATTAGTTGCAACTAATAAAGTTGATGTTGGAGAAATTTGTAGAACTTGTTGTCCAGCAGCAGTTTGTGTTGATACTGAATGTTTTGAAAATTTTGAACTTTTATCAGGAGTAGTGGTAGTTATAATAAAATTTCCTGAAGAGTTTGATTTTTCTAGAATAAAATTTCCACACAACTGTTTTTCACTAGAAGTTGGACTAGTAATAATAAAGCTTTGTGTTTTTTTTTCCGAATTTACATTATTTAATATGTAATGTGTACCAGTATGTTGCTTATCTTTTGGACTTAAAATAAAACCATGCTGCTTGTTGTCAGCTAAAATAAAATTTTGCCCTTGTTTTTCATTAATTAACAAATTGCTTTGCTCATTACTTTGTTGTCCAGATACCATTGTCATTTGCTGTTGAACTATAGTTGTATTTTGTTGAACAACTGTTGTATTATCTTGACTTTGTTGTACAGAACAAGGTACTACATGTATAATTTCATTTTGTTGCTGACTTCTATTCTGACTTTGATGTTGAGTTTGATTTAAATTAGCAGTCAAAATTGGACTTAGTTGTCCAACACTATTGACTATAAATTGATTATTTTGCTGGTGCCTTTGTTGTGTTTGAGCTGTTCTCAATACCATACCAGTAGGTAATATATTTTGTCCAGTATTTGCAAATGGTGTTAAAACATTTAAATGTACACCATCTTGCAATATAGTATTGTCTGTCATTACAACACCTCCAAGGTTTGTTGGAACAATAAATTGTTGAATTGCAGGAACATTATGAACAAGACTAACTGGCTGCAACACATTAGTAATAAGCTGTTGATTGCTATACTGAGTAGTTTTATTAGGTAGTATTAATGTTTGAACAACGGGTTGGTGATAATTTTGCTGAGGAGAATGTAACATTACATTGGAATTGCTCTGATTAGGGGAAATTTGAGGAGATTTACGTTTCTTGACATTATTTATTTTACGCTTGCAGTCTGGTGATGATAATAAATTAGAACTCCTGGGTGAAAATGATCCAGTGTCAACATTTCCAGTTGTAACTGTAAGTTGAGGCACTTGAACTTGATCTACTGTCATAACATTACCAGGTTGAAGTAGTAATGTTCCTTGAGTTCCTTGCAGCGTGTTAACTAAAACAGTGGGTTGCACTTGTTGCTGTACGGCAGAAAGAACTTGAGAAGTGTTTGGTGATTGAATTTTAGTTGATGCCATCATTAGTTGACCATTACTTGTAAATAAAATATGGCTTGGTTGTACATTATCCTGTTTTTCAGATGTAGGAGGTATTTGAATACTACTCACTACACTTTGCACCATTTCTAAAGGAGTTTTATTAGGAACATTTTGTTGTCCAACAGGTATTGCCTGTTCTTCTGAAGTATTAACAGTGACAACGGATGTATTAGTTCTACCAGCTAATACTGATGTAACTGTATTACAGCTTGCAGTTTTACCACTAGCCATAGTTGTAACATTTGTAGTGAATCTTGGCTTCTCAGGTTTTTGTAATTGGATAGGAGGAGATAATGGTGAGAATGAATTTGTACTAATTGTACTATTAAGTAAAGCAGTTTGTTGAGCTAAATAACCACTAGGATCATCCAAAAAGGAAGGATAAATGTTTTCTTCGGATGGTGATTTGGGTTTTTTACTGTAAATTGGTTGTTTATTCAACTGTTTAATTGGTTTACGAATTCTATCTTCTGCTCTGACATTGATATGAGGTGTTTGTGAATTAATAGGAGGCACTCGTTCTTCAACTAACTTTTTGGAGGTATCTTGAGTGACAACTTGTGTTGTTTGGTTATACTTATTTAATTGCCAAGGGGGTGTAGATTTATTTTGAGATGTTATAGAAGGTTTCATAGTAGTTTGAGTATTTTGGTAATCATTTTGAGATTGAGCTGACTTTAACTGAGGTACTAATGGCTTTATTTGTGAAGTCTCGATAGGTTTTTCCACAGTATTTTTATTAGGAATACATGTTTTACAATTACAATCTATGTGATGGCACTGAGATGGAGTATTAGACTCAAATTGATAATGTGATGTGAATTCATCGCGCTGTCCATTATTATTGTCTGGATAAGATTCTGTTTGATAATTGTTTTGATCTTGATACATTTGTTGGAAATACTGATGGTTGGTAGATCCATGATTTCTTGGTAGCTGTGGCTGAGATGTCTGTTGAAATGGATTCATTTGATTATCATAACTAGGATTTGGTTCTCCAGGATTACAATACTGTTCACAATGACTAGAACAATTAAAACTTTTTTGAATTCTTTGGCTATCATAATTACTATATTGCATTTGTTCATGTTGATACATATTGTTCTTGTGATAAAACTCTTGTGAATTAGTATCACAATTAAATTGATGGTGATTAGTTTGACAAGATAAATTTGGTTGAATAGTATCCATGTCATGAGATCGGTTAGGAGGAGAATTGTACCTTAAACCATTTCTATTAGTTTGATCATAATCTACTTCCAAGTTATAGTAATTATTTGGATAATGTGAGTGTCTAGAATTTTCGATATCTACACCTTGAATATTTAACATAGGAAGTTCTTGATTAGAGGATGGCGTAGTTCCTTGAGAATTAGGCATCATTGTTTGAGATGTAGACCTTACAGTTCCTTGAGAATTCATCAAGGTAGGTGAATTTTGAGTCATAATGGGATGCATTTGAGAATGTAATAATGAATCCGATGTTGAAGGATGAAATTTCACTTGATTGATGGTCTCAGCACAAACATCTGGCCATTGCATCTACAAAAAATATTAAAAAATAATAAAAACTCAATAAATTATTGAGAGAAAATCTAGTTCAAAAATTAATTTAAATTTGATTACCTGTTGAGAACCCATTGAATGTAAATAGTTTTCTTTTTCAATAGTATTATCACCATCATATGAAGGATATGAAAACTGTTGTTGAATACTAGACATTTTTCTCTTTTTACGATTATCAGCCAATTCATAAGAACTTTTTCCAAATCTATTATCAACATTGTTAAACATCATTTTCCTTTTATGATTACACAGATTTGTCATAATGTCTAAATCAGAAGTTGGTTTAGCTAACACCTGAAATTTTAGCAAAAAATCGTATTAAACATAATTCAAGGGTGTTCTCGCTAAATTTTTTATACATATATATTTCTTTGTTGATAGACAAGTGAGTAGGTGTGTCTTTTTTAATTTTAAATTCAAATGCGGAATTGTCAAGGTCTAAGATGGTAAATAGCTACGTTACGCCTAAATAATTATTAAGGCTCTTTGTAATAAAAATCAAGGTCGAGCAACACGCATTGTACGAATTCAAGTTTATTATAGATTTCTAGCACTTAATAATAACATTATTATCGAAGTTTATGGTCACATCTTATTTAAAAATTCAAAACTACTCAATAATGACTTCACAGAATTTAAAAAGAACTTAAAATATTAAAATCTATTTGATAATTTCATAGATAAGAAAACGATTAGATACTTACATTACGAAAAATTAAATAAAGACAAAAAAATCAAAGTGTATCAGTTATAATAATTTAGTTTAATCTGATTATTAAAATTTTGAGAACATATAAAAAAGGATCCTACATTAACCTTTGTTAGTATTTTTACTAATATTCAGTAAATACACAACACAAAATTTCACCCATAATCAAGTTGTTGGTGTCTAAACCTAGAATAAATTGTCTGAAGTTCAACAAAACCAACTTAAGTAAAAACTAATCAAGAATATCAAAGTAGCATGAATTTCAGAGAATAACCTAAATTTTATTAAACTAGAATTTTAAAGGGTTTCTAAAATCCTAAAAACTTAATAAAATAAAAAAAAAATTGAAATAAAAAACAATAGGGATAACAATCCAATGAATAAGGACCGTTTAATTAAATGGTATTTAGCAAAATAAATTTGATTTATTATTCATAATCATCAAGATAATGAATCGTATTGTTATTAATGCTTAATACTGAAAAGGAATTTAGAAACATTAGACAGAAAAAAAAAAATTATTTTTTTTTTACTTAGACTATGAGACAATATGTATGGAATTTAGTCTCTTCAGCTTTTATTATATTTAATATGTTATTTTTTTAATTTCGCACAAACAGATTATCCAAAATAAAATATTATTTTAAAAACCTAAATGCCAGTCAGAACTGAAAAAGATGACATATGTATGCGGATTAATGCCAATTCGTAAAATATAAATTTAAATACTTAAATTATTTGCTGGCGCTTGTTCTCAAACTATTATTAGCGTGTACGATCAGATACTCAACAATGAATATTTTGATCATATAAGTGTTCTTGGATAAATTCCAGAATAAATAATCAAAAAACACTAATATTTCACTAACTAATCTAAGTGTATAGAAAAAAAGTATAAAATTAGATAATTACAATTTCAAAAAAAAAAACAATGACGGGAAACAAAACAAACTGACCGTTTTGGTCTATCTATCACAGACATCTTGATAACACATTATTATTTTTTAATAATTTTTTACTTTCATAAAATGTACACTAAATAAATACGACCTTCGTATTACTTTAATTTTTTTGTAGTAACGTTAAATTTAATAAGAGTTGTGTAAAGTAATATTTCTAAAAGTGATTTAAACATCTCAATATATTAAATTTAAAAATAAAAAATCTAAGAAATAACAAAATAAATGCTTCAGTTATCACCTTAAAGTATTATGACAGTTATTCTAAAATTATAACAGATGTTACTTTTATCGTGTAATAAACTTTAATACTTGGTCAAAAAAAATGAGTTAGTGTTTGTCTATGTATGTAACCCATTCATAATGTTTATAAGTAAAACAAAACAAAACAATGTAAAATATTAAGTAAGATAAAATGATAATATCATCAATCGATAACAGGTTAACTAAAAAAGTAACAATTATTTTACTTGGGCCCCCATGAGTGCAACGTACAAATTAACTCCACTTGATAAACGCTTAGATATTATGATGAATCAACAGAACCGGTTGTACCGAAGCTCCATAACAAACCGGTTTATGAAACGCCTACAGCTTACACGGTTATGATATTTTATTGGTGCAACAATAAACAACATTTCTTAGTCGTTTATCATAAGTACAGAATAAAATTTTAATTATATAACTAGTTAAATTGTGTTTACATAGATTCAAAACGTTCGAAAATTATGTTAATACACGTTTTCAATTTATATAAAGATGTTTAAAAATGGACAGTCAAATATTATTAATAGACTAGTAGCTACTTTTAAGGAGGTCGATGAAATAATCTGAAAAATTTTATTAATACTATTGATTGTCTTGAATGTTAACGAAACAACAGGATGTTAAAACGAACATAATAATAATTCCATTAAAAAAAATAAATATTAATAAAACACGTTTGACAAAAGTCAAATAGAAAGATTAAACGAAAATTTTAATAAAGGGATATACATTTTATATATTAATTAATAAATGTAAATTGTATTAATTAAAATGATCTAATACCATAAAATATCATTTAACAATTGTTTTCAAACGTCTTTTATGTGATATTTTAAAAGAACACAATCAGAAATGAAAATGAAACAAGGAATTTTTTTAATTTATTTTTAACGATTTTTTTTTTTTTGAAATAATGATAAAAAAAAATTAGTAAAATAAGTAAGAAAATTTGAAATAAAAATAAACCATTTGATTGGTAGTTTGAGTATCACTGGCATGGCAATGAAATTTAGATTTTTTTCTATTACGAGAACCCAGAACAGCAGCTGTTTTAGTGAACAGGAAGAAAGAGTGTGATATAAAGACTAACCATAAGAGTAACATCTGCCTATAGGTTTCTCAGCAACGCTTATTATTAACACGCATAGAAGGGTGGACATTTTTTTCGTATTTAAAAGAGGGTCAAACATTTCCAACAAAATTATTTCCCAATAAGTATTATAGATGAATTTATTACCGTAACATCAAAATTGAAGACTTGTTCACTATGTAATGGACATTCAAGACCACACTTGCAGGTACCCTGAGTTTTTAAATAAGTCTTGACTTGATCCAAAGAATTTAGAACTGTATTGCTAGGACTGTAACATAATGCAAATATATACTTGATTAATTTCAAACATACTATAATAATTATAATAAATATTAATTATCGTTAAGAATACTAATGAATGTTAGGTGAATATGTTTCAAAGTAAAAATTTTAATAAATAAGAAAAATAACGGTGCATTTTTTTTTTTTTTTTAATGCATCTATTAAAAAACAGTAATCGTTGTTTGTAAAAAGGAAATACGCCTTATGGTCACCCCTGAACGTCACGGTTGAAATAACAAGAACCAACCCTCCGGGTGAAAGGCGTAAGTTATTTTTATACTAACACTTTGCATTTTATTTCATTATTAAAACAACTATTAAATAAAATTTCCTTTGTGCGCTTTCGAAGTAAATTCGATTCATTTCTTTTATATAAAATCAAATTCAACGAAAATATAACATTTGAAAGTCAAAACGATCACAACACCTACAACGTAATAAAGATGAAAACTGAAGTATAATACGTGTTATATAGATGAATATAAAAAACGAATAATTATATGAATGAAAAGTTTTAGACAAGAGTAAGAAACCGTAATATTTTTTTAAGAGTTAAAAATCTTAAATATGGGTTCTATCGTTAGACAGCCTAATTTTTAAACCATTGTATATAAAAAGTTAAGTATTTTATATGGGATTTGATATTATGTTTTTTTTTTGTATAAACTGAAGATAAACTTTTCTTGATCAAAAACGACGTATAAAATCGTTATTTAAATCCAGAACCCTAATAGTCCACTGTGCTAGGCCGGCGTAAGAGTATTCATTGGTGATTATTTATGAAAATATTTTTGCAAGTAAACTTAAGAGACAAATCAAAACGAAGCGATTTCTTCATAACAGGTTTGAATTACAAAATAAAAATCCTTTCAATAGAACCCAATTGCTTTGTTATTTGAAAAGATGCCTTTCATATGCATGTTATTGTGAGTACACTTCAAAACTGAAGTAATGCAATAAAAGTTTCACAATAATAAGAAGTTAGTACAAAGAAGGTGAAATATTCTAAAATTTTTCGTTTCAGCAACAATGTTTTAGCTATACTGAAAGAGAACATTATTTTTTATAATATACTGTTATTTGAGGTCAAGAGAAAAAAATGACAAAGAATAATGAATTACCTTAAAATAAATAGATAAATAAATAAATCTGTATATCCTCCACAATGTTATGTACTGTCAGCAATTGATAAATTAATTTGCTTTTTAATTTTTATTCCATCATAAACAAATTAAGAACTAAAACGTTGTTCTATAATAGCTATAAGCTAATGACTATTAATATTTTATTTTATACGAGAAAATATAATAATTAACTAAAATAATTTATTAATAAGGCATTATATGTCAAGTAGAGTAAATATGCACTCTATATCGATTTACAATCGCCAAAAATTAAAACATATTAATAGCCACCCATAATTAGTTATTTCAACCACTTTTTTTTTCCTAATAGGTAAAAATACAAACAAATTAAATATATTTATAAAATAATCTTTCTCACTATTTTTGACAACCTAACTATAGGGAAAGTGATCATGGAATAGTCGTGAAGTCGACCGCATCAACCAATTAAATGAGGTCTAATAGTCACGACATGACAGTCTCGGACAATATTAACATCACGATTTCTTATGATAAGAAAGAAGAGTAACATGAAACCTTGAAGTAAACACAAGAGAGTCAAAATTAAATTAACATTTTATTCACTACAATCGATATTGTCAAACTATTGGATTAGAGTGAAATTTAAATATTGATAATTCTTAGAGATCATTATATTATTTAATTCGATAAGTAATTAGTAATTAACCGTGTATAATAAAATACCAAGACCAAAATAAAATGTTAATTTAGGTACGCTTATTTGCTCGTTTGAATTGAAATGAATTAATTATTCATACAAGAATTATGTATCAATAATTTACTTTATAATTATTTGCAAATTTTCCATGCGATAAACTATAAAACCGGTAGAATATTAAAAAGTTATTTATGTCCATTTGTTTATGACTAACAAAAATTGATGAAATACGTACGATTTTTCAAAACCGAATTATTAAAAAATATTGTGCAATATTTTTTTTTTTTAAAGGCTCGCTTAATTTTAATAATTTTATTCTTGCGAAAATCGGGTAAAAAAAAAAAAAGACAACTAATATTGAATAATTATTAGATTATCAGGACGATAAAATATTGTGCAGCATTGTAAGAAACTCTTGTTAATCTTAATCACCTACACAGCCCACGGAACATGTACAAAATATTTAACACGAAATCGTTGCCACGATTTCTCCGTCACGAGTTTTACGACGGAAAAGATGTAAGGCAATAAGGCTGTCGTGAATCATGATTAAACAATGCACTAAAGCTTACAGTGAAAGGTTTAACGATAACAACGCATGTAGTACATTTGGTTAACATTTTTGTTTTGTTCATAAGTGAAAGCGTGTCTATATATGAATATAGACTACCGAATGTTTTCTAAAAATAAAAATCAATTATTGACTTAAAAAGGATGGCACACCATCCAAACTTGCAGTCGGTAAAAATTGATGTAAAATAAATTAAGTCGAACCAGACCGGCGTGTACCATTATAACAAAAACAATCCGATTTTTTTTTTTTTTTACTTTTATATGTATACTATATTAAATCAAGTTTATTTTAATTATTAGCGATGTGACGAAATATTTTAATTATTTTATGGAATCCTGGCAGTTCGGTGGGTTTAAATTTCAATTAACAGATGTTTGTGCTTAAACGTTTTTCAAATGAAAATCGTGGTTACCCGATAAAGATGGGAAATAAAAATATTTTTTAACTACACACACAGTTGTAACAACAAATGTTTTGCGTTACGGCTTATTTCAAAACATTTAAATTTCACCTCATAATTAATCCATATTGAAGAAAAATCGAAGCCTATGAATAAAACTACATTGTTCTCTCCGTATTCTTGGGATCGAGAGGCATATCAAGTGTGTCCAAACTACTCTAATTTGAACACTACCTAATTAAATAATCGCCAAGGGGATAAAAGTTATCACTTTCAGATGGTTATAAATTAATTTATTTTATTACTATAGTTCAAGATCAACGAAAATAAAAAATACTAGTTTGATGAATGATACAAGTGGTGATGATACTGAAGTATCTGATAATTTTTAAAATAATATAGTTATCTTAATGACCTTGCTGTCACTAATAAAAAAACATTGAAAATAGCCTTACTACACCCATTCGACTTAAATTCAAAAATGAATAGATACACAAAAACGTTTATTTTAAGTATGAAGTTTCGATATTTCTTTTTACGATACGCACTGATTTTCCAGCCTCTTTCAACACGGACCGGTTTACAAACACGCATTCTTCCTTTACTCCTCTCTTATAGATGAAAAAAAGCGAACGATTAAGTGGTCAGTGCCGGTAATATTGCACTAACAACAGCTATTATACAACTTATACGAGTGCGTTTGTGTGCACTAAGGAGTACAAAATACAACCGGTTTTTTCATCACTTTTTTCGTTCTTAGTGCATAATATGCACTGATTATTATTAACTACCGCTTACCGGCTCAAATCATTGTTTGCGGAACCAGACAGCGTGCCGATAACGGAAGAAGCAAACTGATAAAAGGTCGTTAAAGAAATTAATTCGCATTTACCAGCTACAAGGGTGAAAGCGCTCGAGTTGATTGCGCGCAATGGACACAGCTCTTTTAATACTAAACATCAATAAAGCGCATTAAACGACGAGGACGCAAGGGGGTTTATCCGGGCAAAAAGTCACCAGGGGGTGGAAAGAGGTGGCCGAGCAGATGAGAAGCCATCTCTATTGGATCAAATGTCGTAACATTACATAACCCAAAAGAAATCCTGGAACGGGCGAGAGACGGCAGTGGTGGTCGCGCGACTGTATTCTTCCGAGAGAGTAAATCAATAAGACAGACACGGAGGCGACGATCACACCGGGTGTAATCGCTCGGGGCTATAAATAAAGTTCGAACGGAAAGGATAAACACTTTATCATTCGTTTACATAACTTGGTTTTTAAGAACACGTGAAAAATATAAATAGATTTTCGTTTAAAATTATCTCCTCAGCGCAAAAAAAAGTTCATTAATAACAATAACAAATTATGCTACTAGTGAACATTAAACGTTGATAAAAAAAAGTTATTTTACAACTTAATTAATTTACATAGAAAGTTTTATGGTATAATTATTAACTTGTTAATTATCATTTCACAATTTGGCAGTTAACTTTTATGTTATAAAAAATTATGTTCAGAGAGAAGCAATTTAAAGGTTTTTGTAATGAATCATTAAATCATGTGTAGATTTTTGAAAATAAAATTTTAACGACCGTTATAATAAATATAAAATCTTAATCAAATTATTTAATTGTTAGACACTATATTTAAGAGTTAAAATTTTATAAAAACCATTAAACAAAAAAAAATTGTTTTGATTCATACACGATAACACTAACAATTTGAACTACGCTTTAATAAATTTAATGACACATTCATAATTAATAATTATGAATTACACTAATATTTGCACTTAAAAGATTATATATAGAAATACATAAGCAACTATTACAAACTTAGAAAATTTTCAAAATAACTACATAAAATTTTAATTTTGACAAAAATTTAAGATATTTTCAACTAAAAATTAAAACCTGTAATTATAATTTTTTTGGTCAATTATTTTTATGAGAAATAAATATTAAATATAAAATAATATGATAATAAATAAAAAATATTAAATGTTCTTTGAAATTTAGTTAATGTTTGTTTACAGTAAAAAGCTTAAATTATATCAAATTTAACTAAATGACTCCAATGTTTTTTTTCCAGTGTTTAAATGATTTTATCAAACCCTTAGGTGCTAACAAATCCTTTAAAAGTTGCTGAAACGTTTGGAGAGGGGAAGAAAAACGACCTTAATACAACATGACGTCATTCTGGACGCTTCCCACCAGCGACAGTGGTTAATTGATTCGGTTAGTCAGTAATCAATACAATCCTAAAGGAACAACTACCTGCTGACGATTCAACCCTAAACTTGTTAAATGAACGACTAATCATAAGAACTTCAATTCTTTATCAATGAAAAAAAATATTTACTTATTCGTCAAAATGTTATAATCAAAAATACATCTAAAGTTCTATTTACGAAAAGTATTTATTCATAAAAATGAAATCATTAGAGTTAACACATACAAAACAACTTTTATTGTATAAGCTAAAAAATAAAAAATTCTACTTCTAATGCTATTTCAAACTTAGTTCACTTGTTATCCAAATTTTAAAACTGTTATTTAGTAAGTGACCACGAAATTTTTTTTATGTTTCACACAATCATGTATTGTTTTTTATTACACAATTATAATTGAATAATGAAAAAACACATTTTCTACAAATAAGAAATGTTTATTATTTTCAATAACTATAAAAAATGTTTAACGTATAGCAAAATTTTTAATTAAAAATTAATTTGTATTATTTTAGAAATACTATTATTTTATAATAATTATTATCATAAAATAATAATTTTAATACAATAAACAAAAATACTTTTTTTCACGAAATTTTAAATAATAATTTTATTGAATCACCTCGAAACAATCAAAAGTTTACTTATTAACAATAAAAAATTCTGTTATAAACAAATATGTTATGAAGCTGTCATCAATGGCAATTAACTCATTCGCTATTAACAAACTTAATTAATATTTATAAGCAAACTAGTATCCGAGGAAATCGTAGAATATCGTATAATATTTTATACTTGAAATATGTTTATTTACTTTTCTAATGATTGTCTTTAACCCTCGACCACCCAATAAAATATTCATTTTTTTGTCAAAAAACCAATTATAAGCTACATTATAAAATTAATGCACCTTTTTTTCATTGACCGTTTGAGAGTTAAATCATAGCTTTAAAAAAATAAATATCTCAAGAGAAAGTTTAAAATAAAAAAATCGTCGTTTTTTTTTTAACAACATTCATAATGACATTTTTACGAATATTCACGCAATGGTGTATATGAAAATGAGTTCAGAAGACACTAGTTTTTTAAGGAAAAAAAGAGTCTAGGATTATTGACATCAATAAATCGATAAAAATGACATGTAAAAAGTTTTTATTTAAACTTGAATTTTTGGAAAGTTCTGTTTCAATGAATTCTAAATTAAATAAATCGAAACTTAAAATAAATACATCGAAGAATTAAATATATCTTGTTTTTTTACATAATTAACAAATAGTAATAATTTTATTAATATTACTAATACGTGAATGAAAAATAGATTATCGTATAAGAAGTAGCAAAAAACAAGACCTTTATACTAAGGTAAACCTTGGGATAGGGCAATAAACCTTCTACAAGGTCTACGGAAGTTAAATTTTCATTGTATAAGGTTATTGAAGGTGTACAATTTTTTTATATAATACCTTTCAAAACATCTTGAATATTTAGTTATGTTTTTTTTCATATGTAATTTCATCTCATTGCAAACTTTAATATTAAATTTTGAACTAAATTTTTATTTATAGAAATTTTCTTTAGTCTGGAAAATGTTTACTATATTAACAATTTTTAATAACTATAGCTATTAAAATTATGGTTAATTATATGTATTTTTTGACCTGTTGTATAACACGAAATTACAATTAAAACAAACACCCATGCTTTATAAATTTATTTTGTTCATAAAAATAGCTAAACGTAAATTTTTTGCTAGGAGATTCGAATTGATAACAAATTATTCAGTGTTTTAAACTCGCATTAATTAATGCTTAATTTGTAGCTGTTACTTCACATTTGGCTTCTATAGTAGTCACATACTTTTTTTTACACGAGTTACATACATAACTGGATAATTTACAATGTTAGGGTCTAATTTTGAGGGTAAAAGAACCTCCAAAAAGGACAATAACCCAGGTGTTTTTTCATTGTATTCTACAAAACTGGTGTATTTCAGTGGAAAAGACGCAACCCGTATAATAATTTAGACACCCTATGGCGTAATATATTATTATAGGTCAGATTTTTGTCCGACTTAGTGGCGGTATTCTTAATAAAGCCTACCGAAAACTCACCAGGGTAGTTCGGGTTCATTTTAAAGGATTTTGTCAAAGGCGTAACTAATCGTGACACCATTGCAATTTCTGGAAAATTAGGACGATAAAAAATGTCAATCCTTTTGTAGCTCTTTAAATATCATGATTTATTTGTTATTTAGTTAAGTCTTTAACCATTTTACTAAAATCATACTGTTTAGTTAATAATAAAATAAAGTATAAACAATGAGATAATATTTCAACTACAAAATAAATCGAATTTAAAATGCAATTTTTATGATTATGAAGTTTAATCGAAATAAAATAATAGTCATTTTTAAAAAAGGCAAAATTTTTTTTTTAACTTTTCAGACAAGAAGACATTTTTTGCAACGTTTTAAATTAATCAGTTATAATCATAATATCAAAAATATAGTATTGTTCAAAAGAAAATGAGAAAAATTGTTCAACATAACATGTTTACAATTAAAAAATAATAATTGTAGTATGAAAAATATAATTTACTACAGAGATTACTATGGACCTATTCAACAACAATTATAATTATTAATACTATTCCTTTCTAATCTAACTCTAAAATTTAAAATTAATTATGTGTAAAAATACAAAATGTAAATGGAAAATTAAAATAAATAACCTTCTATATAATAAAAGTTGAGTTTATTACAAAAAAATCTATTAGGGGTTAAGACCAATAGTATCTGAACCCTTCCGTTTCTTAAATAAAACTAATTAATAAATCTCCATATAAAGATTTGGAGTTTAGTATCAGGAACCATCAGAGTCCCTATTAAAATATTTAAAATATTGATAAAATATTATTTAAGCTATACATTAGGATTTTTGAAATTTAGAAAGTTGTGAATAACACAAAATAATCAACTTTTTAGCACTTAATACATTANAAAGTTGTGAATAACACAAAATAATCAACTTTTTAGCACTTAATACATTATAATTTAAAGTTTTTATATCTATGGCTTTCCACAATAAAATATGTATTATTTAAACTAACCTTATATAACAAATTTCTCCACTATTGCTAATTCGCTTCCATCCACTTGGTACAGTAATAGAAGATACATAAGCAGCTGGAGTAGAAACTATACTACTTGAAATTTTAGCCACAACAGTAGAACTTGAAACGTTATTTAATTTGTTAAACTCAGTGGATGCAATTTGATTATATTCTGACAAATTGCAGTAATTATTAGGCTCTTGGTTCATGCTAGCGGCAGCCGCCGATTGAGCGACGACGCCATGATTACAAGATAAACTATTACACGAACACCGATTTTGGGCGCTCGAAATGGTGTACAGAAGCCCAGCTGAACGCAGTGGCTGGTCGTTTGATTCGGTCGTCATGCCTTATCAGATGACCAATACTAAGTGTGGAAGGGCATAACGAGGCATTTTGCATATTTTTCATGGAGGCTTTCCTTTGTCCAAAAATTCTATTATAATGACCATCACTGCCAAAAAACAATGAAAAGAAATTGTTGACGCATGGCAGATTTTCCAAACGTACACCTTTGAGTTTCTTTAAAAAAAATCAAGAAAAAAATAAATATTTAATAAGTTTGTTTAAGAGCATAAAATGTGGTAAAAGACATAATTCAAAATGTACAGATTAATAGATCAAATATTTTATGTCCAAAATCAATTAAATTAATTAAATAATAATATATAAAATTTAAAGTCATTTAAAATTAAGTCCATATAAAATTAAAAACAATTATAAGTTCACAACAATTTTTAATACCAATATTTATTGTCTAATGTAATTGAATCAATTTTTTTTAATCAAAAGTTGTCTTTATTTTATTAAAATGTTAAAATGAACTACATAATTTTACTAAAAAAAAGTTTAAATAATAATGGTGATTTAAAATACTTAGTATTATTCTATGATCTATAGATTGGAGAACAATATCTGTAATTTTAAATAATTTATAATTTGTAAGATTAGTTGAAATTAATTCAAAATATTTCTATAAGTCTTTTAATAATGAATTAAAAATTAACTTGAATAAAAAATAACATCAATGTAAAAAATTTAATTACAAATAATATACATAAGAATGAATGACTGAAATATTTTACATTAGATACCCTTGCTTAATTCAATTAAAAAAATGGAAAGTAATAATTTAATGAATAAAGAAATGTAAACATAAATTTTATGTTTGATATTTCAAGAACTATTATTAAACAAATTAAGGATAAAGGTTTCAAATATTTTTATTTATTAAGGTCTATTTTTAAGTTTTTTAACTTAACAATATTTAACTAATTATATTACCTGCATGACTTATGACATTCATCAAAATAATTGTTAAAATTTTACAAAATCCAATACGAGAAATGGGTTTACTATTGATTTAATCTTTTATCATAAAAACGAAAACACAAAAAATGAACTTTCACAACACACACCGGATACTTATTTCAAATAGAACAAAATAAACACTTAAACACAAGTTTTTAGACTTTCGTATAACGATACACCATCGACCGGCGTGAAAAATTCGTGGAACGTAATCGAAAACTATGAGAATGAAGATTGTTTAAGATAAGAGTAACGAACAAAATTTTTGAAGAGAGAAGACCTATATAAGAAGGTATACACCTAATAAATAAATTACTTATTAACTAAATTGTGTACAGTGACGCCAGCCAAACGTACTTACGATGGGGGGCAAGACTGACGTTGCTGTTAGTATTATGTGCGTACGGGTGTGCGCATAGACGACCTTCAATGCAATACTACATTAATGCTCCCGGTGACAAGCATGAGTACTACTCAATAAGGCCGCGTTTTCACTGGGATATCATTACATTAAAATAATTATCATTAATGAATAAAAAAAAAAGAGTTTAGTTTCTAACTAAAAAATATAATAAATATCTAACATTTTCATTAAATAAAACATTAAAAAATGTTGTTATGTAATAATAAACTTATATCACTACCTGTACACTAGATAAAAAGAGTATTCAGTAATTAAGAAAACAGGTCAGTTGTTTCAAGTAAAAAGAACAATAGAAACCCGATTCCTTACTTACAAAACACCTTATATCTTAAACATATTTACAAAATGTCCGCAGTATGGCAAAGGAGCAGTTTTCTGACCTGAACTTTTTGCTCGGTCAATTACTACAATTGATCAATTGTAGTATATTATAAAATTTTGCAAAATAACATTTTTTTTAATTAAAGAAAAAAAATTATTTTACTTATATAATATTATGAATGCCAGGAGTAAGAGTATTATTTTGAAGATTAATGACATGAAGGTTTGGTGTTTATTAGATTTGTATTTATAATTTTTTTCTGTAAGGCCCATAGTCGATAAAATATTTTTGAAGGTGTCATTTATATTTCCTACTTGCTCTAAAATTCTCTAAAATTACTATGTATTTAACAACATTTATATATTTTTTATTTTTGGGGAATAATTCATTATTTGACAGGGGGCTAAGCTCCTTCTTATTGCTGTTATGACGAAACCTTCAAAAAACCGCGCTGCCCTGTCACCCCTTCAACCTTGGGTCTGTTAAAGCAAAATATTTAAAAAAATATTTTGCTTTCTATTAAAAATATTTACTGACGCTCTTTTATATCTAAGATTTTTAATAGGTAGTAAGTCCATGAATGCCATTCGACATGAGTATAGTCGCAGCTAGAGTTTTATATTCGGAGGACTAAATTTATTTCTTCACAATCCATAAAAGCAAGCAAATAATATTTAATATAGCTCAATTTTATTTTATTGTTTTCCTAAAATGTAATTATTGTTACATTTATTTAAAACAAAATAATTTAGCGATAATATAAAGGTTGTACAAATGTTATGTTGAAAATTTATTTATATTATGATTGTAAAAACTTTATTATGTATTAATACATAATAAAATTTACATTTTTCAACTCATTTCTTAGGTTTAATTGGAAGTTTAATTAATTAATTAAACATATTATTCGTGAAAAGCTTTAAAAAACAATCTAGAATAGAATAACTAGAAAATTGAATTTTTAGGAACTTAATGGTGGGGGGGGGGGGATGGTAAAGCCCCTTGTGATACTTTTTTCAGTTAAAATCGTGTAGACGAGAAAAATCCTCACGTTATTTCCTATCTTATTTATGTATAATTTTATAATTATTACTCTAATCTTTATAATCAAAAATTGTACTTCAAAACTTATTTTGAAAATTCAATTTTATATTAAAAATTAAGCACAGTGAGAATGAGTATAGATGATCTCTAACAGTGAAATTACTATCTAAAAAACTCTTCAATGCAAATCTGTAGATAGTGTTTAATTTTTAAAAGGAGTTATTGAGTTGTTTCAAAAGCAATAAGAACTATTTCCCTATTTATATCCTGATTACAAGTTTTTATGATTAATAAGTATAATACATGAATTCATACTTATAATAGTTATTAAATTCAGTATAACATTGATATTTAATAATCCAGTATTGTAATATTTACAGAGAAATTATTAGAGGTTATAATTTGTTGTATACAGAGTGATTATTTTAATATTAGCCACTCGACTTCTCTTAAAATAATAATTATAATAAGACAATTCTTTTTGGTATATTTTCGATTTTAACAAGATATATAAAATTTTATCTATACTATGGTATTTTACTAGGTTCATAGAACTTTTTCATGGGTGGGAGTTTTTTACAAACCTGTTCGATCGAACCAATATCGTATCTTTAATATGAAAATATTTCTCAATATTATTCTTATAATAACAACAACAATAATTGAGAAGTGTTTTCTTTATACAATCAGCAATTAATGTTTAACTTGGATACGAAGCAAAGAAGGTATTAATTTTATCATGATGTATTTATATTTTTGTGTGTGTGTGCGTCTGTCACTACTTTTTATCAACTCTCACTGAACCGATTTTTCTCAACGACATGTCAAAAGATCACAAATTGATTTTAGTCATACATTCTTAAAAATTGATAATACTTGCGTCGTTCTTCGTTAAAAGTGGAATTCCCCAAAATATTACTATTTTTAAAATTAGTAAATTTCGACATTTAAAATTTCGACATTTAAAATTTCGAGCAAAAAAGTTTAAAAACTTTTTTGCTTAAAACTGCCATAATTTTTTTACAAAATAGATAAATCAAAAATATTTTTTTTTTATAAATACCTTATTTATTTCCCTTAAGTATATTTTTGAGAATCGTTAACCTGCCTAAAGAGGGGATTCAAAATAGCAACTTTTACACGAAAAGTTAACTTTTGAATACTGTGTCCTTTAAACATATGTTAAATTAAAGCTTATATTAGGTACTATAAATTTTAAAAAAATTGTGTTCAACGACTTGCATTCTATTTGCAGATGACTGTCTTTAAAAAAAAATATCCTATTTTTGTGTTATAATGTTCGATGTTATATTTTCAACATTAAATTAAAGAGTACTGCGTAGTGATAAAAATAACTGGCAGATAACAACTTTGTACCAGTATTTTAGAACTTAATAACTATTTATAGCACTGAAGGTAAGTGAAGCACAGAAGCTGCATTTTTATCTCTATATTATTTTCGACGTCAATATTCCTCCCTCCCAAGTACAAAAATGTTAATAAGTTCTGTAATATTAGTCCAACAATTGTTTTCGACCAGTTATTTTCTTAATTAGACTATTTTTTAATCTATAAGCTAGTTAAATATGTATGTCACCTTATAAAATAAAGTTGTTATACTTATAAGATATAAAAGATAAATAGTAAAAGTATATCAGATAAAAGAGTTATGTATGTATACACTATTTACAAAAAAAAAAAATGTATTAATGGTATAAATACAATTGATACAATGTATGTATCAATATGATGATACACATATTTTGAAATAAGTCATGGTAATTTAATGTTGAAAATGTAAAACGAATTTTCTTAGTATAATTATTATTTTAAGAGTAATGGTGTAATGACTATTTCTAAGATATTGGTAAAATAAAAGAAAAATTGTACTACCCCTCTAATCGAAATTAAAACTGTCCAATTTTTTTAAAAAATACACCATTAAGGAATAATTTTTTTTTTATGTATTACAGTAATTTTAGAGCCACGAGTGTATTTATCTTGGATGTTTCATAAATGTTATGGATTATATATATATATATATATACATAAATGTATAACTATTATAAAAATTGATAGAAATTTTACTGTATTGATTTTAATAAAAATTTTAGGGAATTTAATGTTTAGTAATTATATAGATTTAATATTGTCAAGTTAATGTAAGATAACTATATTTCTTTTTTTATAATATTTTATTATATTGATAAAAATTACATTAAAAAGAGTCAAAACCGCCCTTTTCTGAATTGATAAATTTATAGATGTAAAAAATATATGCTTTATCTTATTTTTATACAATGAACAAGACATCAAAATAGTTACAATTTATGTTAAAGCTTCAAGTAAACTTTTAATATAAAATACATTTGTATACACAATTACAAGTTATTCAACTCTAAATTTATTAATCATATAATTTTTATATGAAAAAATAAAATAACAAAACTTTGTTTAACTTTAGTTTTATTTAAACTTATAAATGGTTTTGAAAAAACTATTATGAACCAGTAAAATTATAGCTTGTTTATAAAATTATTTAACTAAATATTAGATGGTAAATTCAAAACAATTTTTAATGGTACTAATACACTTTGTGGTTGTTTTGGCAAGGTTGCAACATGTGGAATTGTGTCTAAATATGTGAAATTCATAACAAATCCCACCTGAACATTAGCTTTTATTTCTTCATTATCAGGGATTTGAATTTCAAATTTCAAAGCGACCTTATTTCCTTTTCTCCAAGAGATATATTTTGGGTCATCAATATCAATATTTACTTCATTTGTATCATCATACTCAGCTGTATCATCTCTGGCAGCAATTTTAATTTCGCCTTTAGGAATAACAATATCATTTATTAGGCTTAAATTTATATTGATTGATTCAGGTAATTTTTTTGGTGGTATTTGATCATCATTTTCAAGTCGCCTGGTTTCTTTCACCTCATTAATAGTTGACAAATTTAATTTTTCAAAGCTCACAACTGTTAAAGTTTGAGCAGGATTACACAATTTTAAAATTAATTGACTCACTTTTCCTGGTTGTAAAGGATCACATTTAATCACTTTTATCTCAGGAACATGATAATAAGCTAAGTGTTTTATTTTAAATTTCACAGCATTATATTCCGGTTTTACAACATTATGTTCACAAACTCTACAACGAAGTGAATGTTTTACATGAAGATGTTTACGTATAGGATATAGATTATCAATATTTTCATCTTGAAAATCTGGAGTTGCAAATCGTTGTTCTAAAGTAGAAATATTCTTAAAATCTATATCAGCTTCAAAAATATCATTTGGAAGTTCAGGGACATCTTCTACAGCTTCAGCTAAACTAAGCTGAGGTGTATTGATTGTATTCCCATCTAATGGAAAATTTGGTAAACCAGCACGTTTCCTTGCCATCATAGCATTCAAACCAAATTTTTCCAAAAAATGCATATAATTACGCCCATAGTTTTTGGTACTCTTTTTTTGCTTATCAAAAATTTCTTTTAATGTCAACGATTTATAGTAATTTATGAGTTCGGTAATTCGAGCTTCATTTGGATTTTTGTAAATAGGCCAATTACCTGATGAGGTTGGTTGATCCGGAACAATAGGTTCATGTGATCGCCAATTACAGAATAGACAAAGTAAATAATACAATTTCTGAGGGGGTTTTTTTGGATCTGTTTGACGAGAATAAGATCTTGTTGAAAGAGTATTAAAACATCTTGGGCATTCTAAACAAGAAGCACAACGATTCTTTTTATGCTTAGCTTCAGTAGAAGAAAGATTTTCAAAACAATGTGGGCAAAATGTAGTATCTATTTCATGACTTACACAATAATCACATCGCAGTGTTAAACAATGACGACAAAAAAATAAATCAGGTAATATTTTCAATAAACCACAAGTGCAAAAAGACATAACAGTCTTTTGAACCATATAAACTGCCATACTTGATTCTTAGGAATTTCTAAAAATTATAACAAAAAAAATATTAAAAATTTTCTTAATTGACTAATATAATCATACAGATAATGTAATCAAAATTAATTATACCTAGATAATCCACCATTCTTTCATTGATCAACTCCCTAGTACAGAGGTTCTCAAAGTCAAATGAATCACGGACCCCCATCTAAAGACCTAACCCTGATATGTGTTCGCGGACCCCTGGGGGTCCGCGGACCACACTTTGAGAAACTCTGCCCTAGTACATCACATATGAATACCTAAATGTATTCATATGTCTACTATTTGGGAAACCAAAATAATAATCAAAAAATGTAGGGAATCAAAACCTACCATTTTAAACTTATGAAAATATCTAATCCCTACAGATCATTTTTTACATCCTTCTATTTCCCAAGCATAACATGCCACAAATGGTAATGGCCCTCTTTCACATGTTAAAAAGTCAAAGATGGTTCTTGGTTAAGCCAATGACGGATATTTCTGGCTTTCAACAGAAAATATACATCACCAATGAGAAAATCACAAGAAAAATGTTTTGGTTCCCTAAATCAAATCCGGTACCCTGTGCGTCAAAATATATATTTCAACCTACTATGAACAGGCTGACTCTTATCTAATTTCTACAGATAATTAAGATTATTAAGTTAGATTATTATATTTTTGATTGCATACAATACAGTTATAAAAAATAAATTAACCAGTTAAATAAGTTTATCATATATTTACATGTATTTATTGATATTAAATAAATTCAGTATGTTTTAAATAAAACGTCAGTCTTTCTTTTATTCCTTATTGTTTAATTAAAAAAATAATGAAATAAGATCATTACACGTAAACAATATTTAACGTAAAAAATCATTATAATTAATATATGAATTTATATATATATATATATATGAAAACATACATTACTATTTCGTTTTTTGAATTTATATTAAACTTTTTTTTTTAAAAACCATAATAATTTGAGATAATAAAGTTAAAGAATAAGTAAAAAAGATTCAGTTGTAGTTATCAATTATTTAATTTATTATCGTGTTTAGAATAGACAATTACAGTCATAGGCTTATACATCTAGACGGAACATTCGATTTGATAACGCATATGAAGTAGGCGGAGTATATTCCGAGGACAGTAGTGATACCACAATGGGTTTTCTCTAAATAACTATTCTCGGACTCGATCGTCTCTTTTACTCTTGTAAAAATAAAATATGCAAAATCTCTCCAATTTCAACGACCGCACTTGCAGTTCTCCAGGATAATGTTCTGTCTCGACGTAGAAGTCTATGATGGTTACAGTGCATGCAACATAAGTTATGAAAAATATAGTTATTTTTTTAAAGGGATGTGTTTGAAATGAACTTCAAGGAGTATTGAAAATATGCACGGGAGATTTTACGTATAACAGGTCCAAACGCAGCTACTCGAACGTTCTAGAATTTAGTTTGCCTACTCATTCGATCAAACGTATGGACGGTCTTTCTTTATTCGTTTTGGTTACCCAAGAGTTGTTCTTTGTACAAATTGGATAGCGCGTGTTGTTTCGCATCACACAAAGAAAGCAAAAATTCTCAATATCTCGGTATATTATTTAGTCGATTGTTGAAATCTTAAAATATTATCGGGACATTGGAAGTAAGTAAATCTTTCCTGTATTTCCTTATTAATATAGATTCAAAGTTACATCATGCTATAACCATCAAGGGTGTCTCGTTAGGAATCTTGCAGCCGCATTACAACAGCTGACCCTTAATGCACATGAATTTTTCTCAATCGATATTGGTATTTTCTTTTAGACATAATTTTTAGTATTTTAAAAATTCGCCATTTTGTTAATTATTATTTATAAGTTTACAATTTTATTCTTTTTAGTAACTTGTTAATTATAATTTAGAGTTAAACTTGTAATGATCGTACGTTTTTGGGATTTTGAACATCCAACTTATTTTTACATGTTATATAGTTAGTATTTTTGTGTTTAACAATTAATGTACTATTTCATTAAACTATGAATTGAGAGGTTAGAATTACTCTTTACTCACGATGTTAGATTGATTAGCATTGGTTTATATATTTAAATAGTAGTCTTAAAAAATGTAACTTCTGATGTTGGTTTCATAACTTAATATTTCAACTGTATAATATGAGAAATTAAAAAAAACATTCAGACTATGAGTACAGTTTT